TCCGGTAAAATGACGTCAATAGTACAGGCTCTAGACTGCGACTGAGAAGCCCTGTGAACGAGGTTGCGTTAGCTCGCGGATCGGATGTGTTGCATGGTAAAGCTGGAGAAAATGGGGCAAATTTCACATGTCTTGCCAAGAAGGAGTAGCCGAACTTAAGCCTAAAAACGCAGCAAGAATAGAAAAAACACAAGTCAACGGATGACAACTGCCATTTGAAGAATGTCTGCTAGACTAAACATTCCTTTTTATCCTAGATTTGCCTAGGGACAGACAAATAAAGTTAGAAGCAGCCGGGGAGGAAAAAGTCTGATTAGGTCAAGTAACTCTAATGGAACAGACACGGTGAATTGTTGCGTGTCCTGAGTGGCAGAAACGAGGCTTTCCATCAAGGAATAGCTGTGTGACTGCCATCACAGGCCGAGCAAAGTGCTTGAAGTTGAACCTCTTTAATTAACTAGAAGTAATCGGAGCTTAGGAGAGTGTGTTCGATATGTTTGTTAGGCGTACAGGTAGCAGTTGAGGGGGAAGGGTGGTTGCGATATAGATAAATATGATTATGGTATATTTTGAATGTAAGGGTTGCGTACAGCAAAACCTCTATTTAAACTGTGTATCACGTTATAAGAAGCTTTTGAAAAGATATCGTATGGTTCGGTGTCAAGTGCTTGTAATCGGAGGAGACATTGGCCAGAGTGCGTCGGGCGTGTTAATAGAACATTTTGTTTTACTGGTGTGAGTTACAGGGCGCAGTTGCTAAGGCCGATTAGTGCTTAACCCGGGATTCTTTTTCTTTCTTCAAAAACATATTTCTTCGGATAATTTCCTATGTTATTTTTAAGAGCATCCAATTATCAGCTTGTTGACAAAATGAATTACAGTCGACTCCCGATAACTCGAACCCCTAATCGCTAACTCGAACCTCGCGCTAACTCGAACCAAAATCGATTTCCCCTGGATTTCCGTCATACATTTACTGTAATTTTACCCTCGGTAACTCAAACCCTCGACAACTCGAACTCCCGCTAACTCGAACCAACTTTCGTTTCCCCTCAGGTCATTTTCTATATAATTTTACCCTCGATAACTCGAACCATGTTTTGAGCCCTTAAAAAGTCGGGAAAAAAGCCGTCTACTGGCGTCCGAAACATTGAATTTTGGACTTCCTATTGACGTGTTGTATGAGTATAGTTTACTAGTGGAGGCTGATATTGATTGTCACAGGCTAACGTGAAGCAGCTTTACTTCTCAAAACAGTAAAACGCATGCTCTATTTAGGCTATGGTTTGTTACGTTACGTTCTGATTTATAATCTAGAAGTATCTTTTAATTTTCACTAGACATTTCTACAATTAAATGTGATTAAAATGTTCACTGTGCAGTAAAAACTGTTTTTTACCTTACTCTCGGCAATTTTCTTCGAGCCCCGATACACCCAACACAAATTAGGGGTTGCGTTCTCGTACCTCGAACGCAATGAGGTGCTTCGATTGATCTCGTGATTCCGGAATAAGGATACGCTAACTTTTGTTACAAACCTCTTCAGTGTATAGTGAGTTTGGACTACTAAAACGCTACAGGCATCGGAATGTTTTGAATGTTTGAATGTTTTTATTATTTATATGTTTGAATGTTTTTATTTTAAGGAGATTTCTAGACATCGCAATTCACCATTTTCTCATAGACCAGAATGCACCTTGTTTACCCCCCAACATTTTGCATAACCATTGTGTTTGATTTCTCTTGGGGCCACCGTAATACCTAGTACCCTATAGTATCCAATAGTTATGCAAAATTTTGGGGGTCAACTTAGGTGCATTATAGTCTATGTGAAAATAGCGAATGCAACGAATGCCAAAACAATTGATTTCTATAGTTAATTCCATTTATTCTTATTCTGGAATACTGTCAATCGAATACGCCCTTAGCCAGACATGATAGCAAAGCAATGTAAGCTGCATCCACATTTACTGACAAAAACAGCGAGGAATATCAGAGATGGAGAGCAGGCCACAACACATGCAAAGCGAATGGTAAGGGTTCTGCTCTTGCCATGGAACCTGAAGGTGTTGATCTGTGGATCTGTATCAGCCTAGTCCCTAGACGTTCTCGGCTCGGTCAGTCATGGACTCTACTGTGAGCTCTGACATCCCAAAAGAGACTCGCCCGCCCTTTCCCAGACTTCGCGGGGACAATGGGGCAAGAGAGTTGCAAGATACAGAGCATTATGGAGAAGGAGACAGCCAAAGCTTCTGCAGGGTGGAGGGTGTGTCAGTTTAAAAGAAAGAGTGTACCGGTCATGCTCAGAAAAGAGTTGAGCTCAGCACTTCGTAATTTGAAGCGTGAAAACCGAGGCCTGGGAAGGAGGGGCAAACTGAATGATGCAAGAATGGACAAGCTTCAGAAATACTATTGGATATCAATTTGGGCAAATGTGGGAAATGGATGGAATGAAAATATGCCATCCATGCCAGTCTTATATACTGTGTCTCCAGCGAATCGCCCATTATAGGGCAGGAACGCTTGACGAAGCCCTAAGAATTTCTGCGCGGAAGGCTACCTTTCCTCTCAAGAATATGATTTTCGGCCACCTGTGGTATATTACGAAATTTTCGGTCATCCGACATCGGCTGCCGGGATTCGACATACATTTCCTCTCAATTCAAACATACCAACGGTTACTTAGTTTGTGTGGGTGCCCTGTGTTAAAAATTCGCGCAATGGCTTAATAAGCGAACACTTAGCCAACAGATATTTAATCAAGTTTCAGATTTACAATTACAATGACAATTAAATCAATCAATCGCTCAATCTGAGGTAGGCTTGAAACAGAGTACAAGACTCCTTAAAAATAAGCTACCTACCGGTATTATTACAATACATCATAAATAGATCTTGAGAATTATATTTAAATAACTAATAAAATTATCTAAAACGTTATTTTGGAAAGTATTATTAAAAAATTATAGAAGACATGAGATAAAAAATAAACAATCACCTTAAAAGGACAAATGATTGAGTAAAGTACAATGTAAAAATACCTTAAACTTATCATAATAAAAGGCCATTAAATTCTTTCGAAAGATTGATAAGGTATTTGAATCTCTTATACTAAACGGGTAATTCATTCCCCAGGCGACAGATCCGAACAAAAACGAATTCTTAAAGACGTCAGTCTTTATTAAAGGACAGACACAGCACAAGTGTTACCGTCATTTTTACCTCAAATTAAAAAACATTATTTAGGTTCTTTCCATCTGCTTGGGTTTTGCGTACAGTACCTTTGCAAAGAAAAATAAGAGACTGCTCGCAGTCTATACTGTGCAGAACAGATCGACCCGGAGGGGGTGGCGATTTCACATCTATCACAACAGTCACAAAACAATAAAGTCACGCGTAGCCTACGTGTAGCTGCACCCTCCCCCTCTCTCCGTTTTTCCTTTGTTGGGGGGAGGGTGCAGCTACACGTAGGCTACGCGTGACTTTATTGTTTTGTGACTGTTGTGATAGATGTGAAATCAAAAATAAATAGTACGTACTGAAGAAAGAGTCGAACAAATATTAAAATTTGCAGCAACAAATATTTAAATGATAACGAAAAAAAAAAACAATTGAGACGTCTTAGACTTTTTTAATACAGCTAAATCAAAAAAAGGTTGCTTTAGTAATTGGTCATTGGTAATTGGGCGTTGGGCGTTTTGGCATATGGCACAATACAATGATTTACTTCAGTGACCACCAAACAAGAAACCTTTATTGAATCAGCGATATACCAGTGAATGATTTTACATGAGTTTCAGACATGCCTGGACAAGAACAAAAGGCAGTCGGGTTTCAGGTTTACTAGGAAACGAGGATCGGGAATCGGGAATCGGGAATCGGGAATCGGAGATCGGGGATCGTGGATCGAGGATTTAATTGATTAAAAATAAAGTAACCGAAGAATTGCAGAAATAAATATAAAGAATTTACGTAGATACTTCCCATGTTAATTTTCACGCGTTATCGTCCAATCACCTAGTTCTGCGAACAGTTTCTAGATTATGGACAAGGTTTATAAGCGGTGCATGAGTTATGTTTTGCCTGGTTTACAGTGTTTTGAAAATTGTAAAATTCTTCCTTTCTTGGCGATGTCAACGAGAAAATATTCAGATGCTGTGTCAGGTCGCCAAGAAGAAGTCTGTTCCCCTAGTGATGCACATAGCTAAAACGAAGAAGGCGCACTTCAATAAGCTAGTCAGTTTCACAACCCCTACCCAGCTATAGTCAATTCTGTGGCCAATTGTCTGACCCCATATTAGTCTTCGGAGTCCAACTTTTGGTCGAGAGGTCGGGGATCGATTATCACGTGGAGGGTACATTTTATAATTAATTTGATTTATTATTATTATTATTATTATTATTATTATTATTATTATTATTATTATTATTATTATTATTATTTTAATGTCATACAGATTAGCAATACAATTCAACAAAAATGCACTAAAAATAAATGCAATTCTGACAGACAAGAGACCTTAAGCGCTTCATTTTCCAGCATCAAACACAGGTTCGAGTCAAAACAACCACTGCCAGTACCCCTATGGGGGGATATGTTCTGTGAAATTTATCCACAGTCTCCGGCCCACATCACCAAGATCCACGAATATTCTACAATTTTTCAGCTATTTATTTATTTAATTAATTATTATATTATCAAGTCTCCGATCCCTGATCCTCGATCACCGATTCTTGATTTTCCAGTAAATCCGGGTTTCAACTCGTTAATTATTCCTCGAGCCCGAAGGACGAATAGGCTATTGACTCAGAGACCATTCGGGCTCGAGGAATAATTGTTTTTTGTAAAATCCAACTAGTTGGTCAAAAATATCGAGACAAAACATTTTTAGCTAGTTTAAGCTGGACTTTAATCCTTTTTTACCGCCAAAAAGCCGGTGAAAAGCCGGCGCTTTTCGCTACTAGTGTGCTATAACTCCTAGTAGTAGCTCAACCAATTAGAACGTAGCATTGATAATAGACCACTAGTTGGATTTTTTAAAATATGCATAGCCCAGCTCAATGCAACACACGTACCCAATGGAGGACGCATTGGCTGTTGCATGCATCGCTGTGGTTCTCTTTGTAGCTGCTTGGTTGTTCACTAAATTCCGCAGTGCATGGAATGGTTCGCAAGCCCAGCTACCAAAAAATGTTCGAGCGTTTAGTAAGATTCCAGGTCCTCGCGGATTACCGTGGTTCGGTTCTGTGATTCAGCACATCATGAACGCAAAATCCATTCAACATGTTTGTACTCAAAAAAAGCTGTTTGAACAGTACGGGCCGATATTTAAGGAGACTGTCATGGGCAAGACCCACGTTTACATCCAAAGTCCCGCCGATCTTGAAGCCGTGTTCAAAGCCGAAGGAAAATTTCCTAAACGATCAACCGATGTAATGTTAACACTGAAGGAATACCTTAGAACCAGGAACGTTATGGTAGTGCCTAGCCTCGGTTTGCTGTAAGTATTCTATCCACAGGATATTTTATCCCAACATGACAGGAGCATGGTCATGCAAAAGTGCAATTCTTCGTATTTTCCAGTTTCGTTTTCACCAAAAAAACCAATCGCCCAGAAAATGCTAATTTTTTTAGCCACCAATTTTGCGAGTAATTATTCAATCAGACCGGTTTGTTATTTAAATATTTCGAAATACAGTGGACTCCCGATAATTCGAACCTTCAAGGGAAAGAGAAAAAAATTCGAGTTATCGGGAGTTCGAGTTATCGAGGGTAAAATGATATAGAAAGTGTTCTGAAGAGAAATAAAAATTGGTTCGAGTTAGCGGGAGGTTCGAGTTATAGAGGGTTCGAGTTACCGGGAGTCGACTGTGTATATTCCCGAGAGAGAATTGAAACTAAGTGCACCTTTGTCATGCAAGTTTTTGAGACAAAAAAAATGCCAAATTTGCAAAGGTTGATGCAAGGTTTCCGAGAATAGTTAGTTTACACAACAGGACGACAGACACTGAAAACGCTTGTGTATGACAAACGTGACAGGGCTATTGCTTTCGTGTTCAGTGCGTGATCCTCGCTTAACATCAATATCTTCTGGTCTTTGCAAAAAACATCTGTTTAAAAGAAAGTGAAGTTTGGGGTACAGTTATTTCGAACAAAATTATTTTTGGGAGCGCCATTCTACAACACATGACGTAAAACTGATGAAAATGCATCAGTTTGCTTTTGTCCAAAAGTATGCCCCGCACTAGCGTCCACTCCCTTACCCCCTCCCCGTTAAATGTCCAGTTGACGTTAAGCGGCGGAAAAGTAAATAGAGAGTTTTAGATCCGAGTTTACCGCGAACCTCTAACCGCTGGAGGTCACGTGACAAGTCTTTCGCGTCACGTTTGAGGTTTACGACGTGCGTTTTCAACCTGGGGAGATAGGTTTTCACGTATGTCATTTACCTGAAAGATTTTAGCGTATGAATCTTGTTTTATCCCACGTAATGATACAAAAATCTTGTGGAGCAAGTCTTTATCCATTAACAAAGGCACAAATACGGGCGAAATGCTAAATTTGATAAATCCTGTTGGATCTTGAAAACTAGTGCCATTCATGGCTGCTGGTTCAAAATGGCGGCCGTTAAAATTGCAAGAAGAACTAAAGTAAGAATTTACAGCTCTTTGCTGCTAGATAACCCAGTGTTACCGTAAATTTCTTTTATTTTCACTGATTGATTTTTCTTCTATTTCTAAGCGGAAAAATAAACCAGAATCCACTTCTTTTCCACCACCAATCTAAATCGAATTATGTTTGAACGTTGAACCGCAAACGGGTAACGGCAAACCGCGGTTAGAGGTTCGCGGTAAACTCGGATCTAAAACTCTCTAATATGTCGACGGCCCCTAATATAATATTCGTCAGGAATAGATTGGAGAGAAGAATTCAAACCAATTTTTAGTTTGTGGAAGGGACTGGACAGAAAGAAGAAAAACAACAAACAAACTAACAATACAAAACAAAATGGCTGCGTTAATACTAGCACCTGTTTGCCGGTCGAGATTGATGTGGAGAGTCAGAAGAGTACTTCAGCGGAATGAGTTGGCTAGCAATGTGTATGATTGAATTTGCAAACAATGGACATCGATTTCATATTATTGGCTTGTCTATCTTCTTCAACTCCAAAGAGGAAACAAAGGTGCCGACAGAAACAAAAACAACAAATGGTGGGAAAAGGGTTGAACCAGGCAGTTGGTGTGAGATCAAGATTTGAAATCGAGACACTTTTCATGCTTAGGCCCGGTTCAGATGCCGATCTTTTCATGAGCCGAACCGAATTCATTGAATTAAGTACATGAAAAGTTCGGCCTCCGAATCAGTTAGGAACGCCTGTTTCAATTTGGAACGCTCAGCCGTTCTTCACGCCTAGCCCGGCCGGGAATTTCGACTGTGGAACGACTTTGGAACGGCTTTGATTCAGACGCCGAACTTTTCACGTACCGAACCTAATGCATAAATTCTTGTAAGACTTGACCGAAACTGGAAACCGCGCATGAAAAGTCTCTGGCATCCAGGGTACTCAAGCCCCATTTACACAACAGAAAAAAATGGGTCCGGACCCATATAAAAGTTGGTACAGACCAGATATTTTTGCCGTGTAAACCTTCCTTATTATGCTTTCATGGAATGGATCCGGACTCGCTTTTTTTCTGGTTTTGGGGCCACAGGCGGCAATGTGGTCATGCAGGAATAAAAGCTAAGCAGTTGACGAATTTTTGTTTTCTTATGTCAGAAATAATGAAGAGTGGGCCCGACTGCGTAAAGCAATGACACCCAAACTTCTCCGACCCCAAGATGTTGGAGAGAATATTCAAAGCTTTTGGAGAATGACAAGAGATGCTGTTAGTTATTTGGCAAAGACTAGGGGAGATGCTGGATTTGACAACGAGATTCCTAACCTCGAAGACGTTCTTCATAACTTTGCCGCCGAAAGTAAGTCCATTTATCAGTGGTAGTCGAGGTCTCTGCAGCCTGTCTAAACCCAATTGGATTTGTCTACCGTATTTACTCGATTAAACGCACTGCATAGAGGAAAAATTGTCAGTAAAAGCTATCCCCGAAAAAACGCCGCGCCGAAACCGTTGCGACGGTCTATTCGAGGATTATGAGAAAACAACTGCGAACAACTTCGTATTGCACATCATGCAGACAATTACGATTCAACCCCAGCAAAAACAGCGAGACACTGAAACTTTACATAATATCCACAAATGATTTATGGCATTTGTTATCAGTGATTTGAATACCTCTCTTAAATAAACGCCACCCTTCAATAGCGAAAAGTTCAATAAAAGCTGTGGCGTTTAATAGAATAAATACTATAACATGTTTGTATAAAATTTCTTTTTTCTTTTATTGAAGCTATGGGTATAATAGTATTTGATAGCAGAGTTGGCCTCTTTGACGACCCACCAAACAGCGAAGCAGTCGAAATGGTTAAAGCTATAAATGATTCTTTCAAGTTGATGGGGAAATTAAATGGAGGACTGGAATCGTTTCTTCTAAAGTACACCTGCTATAAGACATCTACCTTCAAAACAATGTGTGACGTTCTGGACGTCGTTCTAAAAACCAGTTATAAGCTTGTGGACAAGACGATGAAGAAATTTCAAGAAACAGCTGATGATGTGGAAGACGATCAAGGTAAATGAATGCTTTGGAGCCGTTTAAGTCCTTAGTTTCGCGAAGGCCTAGTTCTGGGATGCGCTGGATAGGTAGGAAAATGGGGTAGGAATGGCGCACTCTGTGAAATGAAGCAAGATAACGACTTTTTCTTTTCAGCGGAGCGAATGACTTCCATGACTGATGAATTGCTGCTCTTTTCCGAGTCGATCTTCCTGGATATACCTGGAGTAGCGAAGCAATTTTCTTTTTTCTTTTGCCTACATATTATATCTTTCTTTGTTGCTAAATCTAAACGAGCGATAAAGTTATCTTACATGTTGTTTTTAATTCCAGCTGTTCCTTTGCTGACGTATCTTTTAACCAAAAGTGATTTGCAGATGGAGGAAGCAACTCTTAGCTCAGTTATTATGTTCAGAGCAGGTGTTGAAGTGGTAAGATAACAATGCGGCAGGATAACAAAGCAAGTATCAAATAAGTTTAAATAATAGTGCGTTGCCCCGGGGTGTACTCCCTACAATGGTCTATACGTGGGGGCTCTGGATCAAGTTAGGTTTCTGGGAAACTGCCCACCTATCCCTCCCCTAAGTCAACATTAACACTTACTTTTCACTTAGGGAAGAATGTTGAATTAGGGGAGGGTTAGGTGGGCAGTTTCCCCAGAAACCTAAATGAGGTGTATGAAAAGGCAGGGGATTTTAATAGAGTTGAAGTATATGAAAGGGTAAGAATATCTGTAGTACCATTTCGGTCTGCAAAGAGGCCCAAAAGGGCTTACAGATGCATTTTATGGCTGCGAAAAACTGAGTAGAGAAAAATTTGTGTTTTTGCAATTTAATCGTAGTCAGAAAAAGGGATGCAAAGTTCTAAACTAGGTATTTGCAAGGGGTATTATTTTTTAAATAGAAGGTATACTACCAAAGGGGTACCTTTTCTACCAAAAATGGTATATAAAAGCCGGGTAAGGAGTTAAACCTCCCGGCGTATCCTCCCCATATAAAATTTTGTTGAGCTAGGAGTGTGATGCAGAGAAAAAACTCTCCTCCCCCATCGGAAACCCATGACAACGCAGACACTGGTCGCGGGGTGCGGTTCTAATTACTAAACCATGGACAGACTTTGGGGACTGCTAGGCCATTTGATAGATTCCCATCATTTCGTTTACAAAACACTTTTAATGTCAATAATTTTTTTTTAATAGCTGAATAATTTATCTTACAGTCTGGAATTTTTTCTCATATAGACCGGTACCATCGCTCTTTGGCTCTTGTACGAGCTGGCACGCAACCCTAGGGTGCAAGAAAAGGTGTATGAAGAAGTATCCTCATTGATAAAAACCAATGAAGACTTCACTACTGAAAGCTTTGGAAAACTGCATTACACAAAGGCCTGTGTCAGGGAAACTCTAAGGTAAGGACCCAAATTCGATACTATAGGGAGTTCTCAGCAGAGCCTGCGTCATGTAGCTGGGAGTGATGTAGATTTGGAAGTTAGGAAGCGAATAAAGCACAATCACAGGTAGCCCAAGCTCGAAATATGAGCATCGGCGAGCATAGGCATTGTTGCGTAACATTCAAAATATAAGGATTTGTATAAACCTTATACATAGAGAGAAAACCGTTTACAGTACAACCTATAAAACGGCCATAAATCGGCCTGTGGACCACACAGGAGAGACGTAACACACATTTTAAGTAAGGTAAGCTGTTTTTTTAATCGAAATCCTTTCATTTTCGTAGGTTACAGAAACGATTCGTTTCTTTCCCATTTCGAATGTTACGCAACAATGCCGATACTCGCCGATGCTCATATTTCGAGCTTGGGCTACCTGTGGCACAATGCAATAGGTTTACACTTTAATAGCTTGCGTCGTAGACGTAATCTCACTCCGTTTAGTGGGGACCTTAATACTCCTTTCATCTAACAGTCGTTTATGTTGACTCAGGATAGCTCATTCTGGTTTTTTGATTTTTAGCAACGTGAGGTCACTGTGGCCGACAGTTTTATTTACAATGGTCGAATTCGCGACCGAACAGAGCGCTTGTCGCGGAAAACACTTCTTTCGACAACTGTACTGATATCCAATCAAACACATACAAAAATTCTTGGTATAAAATAGTAAACTGTATACTTCTTAATTATCGGTCTCTTCGATCGTCCAGGTTATACCCTGATCCAGGATTTTGGTCACGTGTTCTCAGCAGGGATGCAGTTCTCTCTGGTTACCGTGTTCCCGCGGGGGTAAGTATCACAAAAAGTATGGGTTAATAAAAACATAGTTAGCAGAGGGTACAAAAAGGTAAAAGGTTTTAAGAACAAAACCATGAACGAGAATGATATACGACACTAAGTAGGAGATATTGTGGCACTAGCAAACAACGGAGATGTTGAGTATTCAAGCCTTGAACAGCCCATAAGAGCCTCAAGATACACTGTTTCTTCTTGCCGTTGCTGGTAGAGGAACATGTTTCACTTGGTTTTAGGAGACTATGTTTTCCTAGATGTGGTTATGCCCAGTAGCCTAGCCGACGAGGCGACTTTAATTTACCCGTGCCCGTAAACCGGAAACCGTGCATCTTCAGTAATGGGTCTATGACAGGAAATTTATCAAAAATTCAAACGGTGGCAACTGCGTCCAAATTGTCGAGTGAAACCTAAACTTGAATAACCCCTCAAAGAATTAAAAGAAGGTAAAAATAAGACAGCAAATACAAAACAAGGAACGAATGGACAAACTTGAAGAAGATTAACACGGATTGCCGCGATTGTGGTTTTTCAGGAAAACTTGTCAGGCTAACAGTTTGTCAAAGTTCATTTTTGCTGTTTGCGACGTTTGATAAGGTTTGACATAATGCTTGGAAGGCATTATTTGTTTGATTCAAAGCTGTGGTTTTGTTGTCATCCACAAGTAATTTTTCAAGTCCCACAGCGAACAAGGTCGATTAGTTGGCAACAAAATGAACTAGAGTCACTACTGGACAGCCGTAACTCAGCCCCTTTGAGTTATCTAATAGTGGAGAGGTTTAGAAACCAATGTGCAACACTTTGTTAAAAGATAGTAAAAAAAAATTCCCTCAGTTTAAGACGAACTGCATTGTTCTTTCTACCTAGGTAAATGTTTTAAAATGTTAGTGTCTTCAGAGGAATGTGTCTTTTTTTGGTTGTCCTTATTTAGGCATATTTAGCCGTTAAAAAACACCAAGCTCTTTTCAAATGCGACGACATTTCTTAGCCTTCTATTCAGCTTTGATGTGAACCTTTTTTTAGACCCCGATTAGGTACTCCAATTATCTGTCTGGGCATTCAGAAGAAATTTTCTCAAATCCTCTTGAATTTAAACCTGAACGTTGGTTGAACACGGAAAAGAATGGCCCTCATCCTTATGCATCAATTCCATTTGGCTTCGGGCGACGCATGTGTATAGGTAGGTGACTTTTTATCACACAGATTTACTGCTTCTGCCTCGTCGCAGGTCTCCTTCTTTGCTCTTATGCGGCGCTGTCGCCCCTCGTAAGGGAATCTGACACAGTCTTGGACTGGATCCCACGCCATGGATTCCGGATTCCAGGTACTGAATTCCAGTATTTGTAAGTGGAACATTGGATTCCGGATTCCAATCGTCAGTGGGATTCCGGATTCCTTGTGCTGTATTCCGGATTCCAAAACCCAGGATTCCGGATTCCACAAGCAAAAATTTGCCGATTCCGGAATCCGGATTCTCTTACACGGGGGAGCGTTGGGTCTCGAGAAGATGTGCTTTCTGTTTTTCGAATTAAAGTGGCGCCTTGAATCTAGGCAGCACCGCGGCGATTTTCTCTCTTGGTTTCAGTCCAGTCATTATTACTGCTTTTCTTACTGACTGGCTCCTTTTTTTATACAGGACGACGCGTAGCTCAGACTGAACTCTGCCTTTTGGCCGCAATGGTAAGGAGCTGATTGTGGAATTACAAACAAAGTGCGATGAATATAATGGCCTGTGCTAGCTGGCGGAATTATTGTTGCTCATGCGAGAGTTTCAGCGGCGATACCGCCACTCTCGCGCAGCTTTGCCGAGAGAAGTGAGCGCCGAATAACTTCTCGGCATTTCAAAGCTTCTCCCCCCAGCCCAATTCTCCGCACGTCTTCACAGCTCCTCTGCTCTAAAACTTTCCTCGCGCAAACCATCCCGCCGGCTACGCAGGCTATGATTATTACAAATTGCTGAAGTACAGCTTGTGGAGCCAGCATAATGTTTAGTGTATTTAGTCATTATGTGGGTTGGTGTGTAGAAAGAAGCTGACATGCAACTGTTCTCCGAACAGGTCGTGGCGCCCAGCTATTTCGTTTCAGCGAGAGAGCGCCGCCCCCCCCCCCCCCCCCCCCCCCCTCCCTCCCTCCTCACCTCAACTGCGTTACTCCCCCTCCTTTCCAAACGTTTCTTTGTCCCCCGCTTTTCTTTTTTCTGTTGTTTTCCCTCACAGAGGGTTTTTTCTTTTCTGTGTGGTTGGTGGTGTTTTTTCATTTATTGGGGGCAGCATAATTTTTTGTTTTTTTTGTCATTTGTGGGGTTGGGGGTTAGAAAGAAACTGAAATGGCACTTTTCCCCCGCACGGGCGGGGGCCCCACGTTTTTCTTTTCGCGGGGGGGGGCCCCCCCCCCCCCCCCCCCCGGCTCTCCCAATCTTTACTTCAAGGTCTGGATTCCCAGCCGTCAGCTGTAAGCCTGTGCTGGCTCCATCTTGATATGATTTGAGCAATCCTCCTCGACTGAGGGCTCTGTATTTCTGCGGTTTGAAGCATTCTCTATACTTATTAGCTCTGAGTGTTTGATCGAACTTTTCCCATTGAGAATTTTGAAATTTGAATTAATAAGTACTCCGCACTTGTGGTTGTTTCAATGCCGAGATGTAGCATAATGATGATCTTAAGATTGTCTCGAGAAGAGTCCATCGAGAATCAAGAATCTTGGGCGTAGGAGGTCATAGATAAATTGTTTTTTGAACTAATTTCATCCGGCCTCTTTGACTTTTCTGTCAATTTTTACTGACTGTCTCAGGTCATAAGTAATACAAATATCCCTCGATTCTAACTTTCAGATCGTCCAGCGCTTTGTGTTGGAGTTCCACGAGAAGCCAGTTGAAATAACAAGTGAATTCGTGCTGGTTCCTGATCGACCAATGAGAATCAAGTTCATAGACCGAGAGTAATTGACGCTGCGTAACCTGCGAACACCGCTGTCCCTTGCGTCCTCGTCCTCAGGGTCTTTTCAAGCATACGTAGCAGAAAAAAACCAACCGGCGCTTGCCACGAGTCAAGCCACGCAGGCTGCGTAGGTTTTCTTCTTTTCCAATGAAAACAGAGAAGTCCCTGGGGACGAGGTTGCCGTTGCTAGACGTCGGGGTCTCAAGGTTAATTTTGACAAAATCTAAGTCAGTTCGGTCGCATTAAAATTTTGATGTTTTCTTTTTTGTGTGTGTGACAAAGAAGCGTTGATACCGGGATTCCGTAAACTGCCGCCGCTCACGAGCCCTGGGATAAATCTTCGTACGGGGTTTGAGGAGGACTTATCAACGGAGGGGCTTGTATCCCATAACAGCAGTGCTGATAAAAATACGTTTTGCATATACTGGTTTTTAATAAAGCTTCAAAGGGCCTACAATTGGGGGGGGGGGGGGGGGGGGGAGGGATGGCTTATAAGACGGCGGTATACGGTAGTATAGAGTGTTTTCACTAACGTGGCCAGCATCTATGCAAACTTATTGGAACAAAACAAAGCGTTTGTATAAGAAAAGAGTTCAACTCCCACAGGACTGGTTTGGGACACCAACATGGCCGCCGTTTCATTGTTTTGGGACACCAATATGGCCGCCGTGACGTCATGTGAAAACACTCTATACAGTCACTAGCTCCGACTTGTATGCTACCAAAGCGACACCAGCGTCAGAGGTCACGGGTTCGAAGAAGTAGGAAACTTTTTCTGAGCAGTGCCCACCACGGAGTAAAAACATTTTTCAGTTTTCTAACAAGGCGTCTGTTGTCGCAATGAATGGTTATATTTTTCTTTATATCCATAAAACCTGGGCTCGAAGAATTCGTTATGAAAATATCAAAGATGAAAATAAACAATGCCACTTCTTGGTCGTCAAGCGAAATAAAGTTTGCTAGTTTTTGTTTTAATATGCGTTTCTTATTGTTTAGATAACCAATTTTATATGTTTAATTTCCTCTTCAGGGCTTTAATACTCACTAGCTTTTTTTAAAAATTTCTTTTTAATTAATTTTGCACACCACATACAAAGTAAAGGGAAGGAGAGAAAAAAAGGAGTTTTTTTTCTGGACTTGGGGCTTATTAAATTTTAATGCAGTTATCTGTTCGGAAATCATAGCTGTCTGTATTAATTATCTTCAATTGTTTTCAGCGATAAACTATAAACTCAACATGGAACTGCAGCCGTCTCTATCGAACGGTGCGAAACACTAGACACTATGGCGGGCGTAAATATTCAGGGGCACTCAACGAGACTATAGTTCAAAACCACTTAAACATTGCATCGTTAAACGTATTTTAATATTTAAACGGTAGATATAGGCATATTTTCATCCGTTAAACATTTTTCATCTGTTCGGATTTCCTAGCTGAAAGTCTAGTGATGCGAAAATTCTAGGGATCAAAACTTGCCTTTTCGAAACTTTCAGCCAGAAAAAAGCTCCCGAAAATTCTAGGTGAATTCTAGGTAAAAATGGGCAAATGTACCATTTTTTAGATGTTCGAAAATCCTAGGAGGGGCAGGCAAGCAAGAAATTTTACAACAAACGTTCCGAAAATTCTGGATCTCATATCGTCTTCCGAACAGATATTTTCCGAAAATTGACGTTGGGTGTCCCTGAATATTGTACCATCAGTCAGTTTTCATGTAGCCTCCCACGCAGGCGTTTTTAGGGGAGCTCGTATTTCTTCCCTCCCCAAGAAGGAAGAAATACGAACTCCCCTAAAATCGCCTGCGTGGGAGGCTAGTTTTCATGCTGAGTGAAGTTGTTGGATTTTGTCGTAAAGCGTTTTAGGGAATATACTTCCCCACTTTAAGCGTTTACTTGATTGGCCTTTGACAAAGATATCGGCTGTATTATATAAAGGTGAAAATTTGTTGTGATCTAGGTTCCATTAACATCGGAATTGCCATGGCAACGAAATGTTGCCATTACGATTTTTACTTGCCTTTGTATTTCTCTCTACCAGGAAATTTTTTCACAGAAATCGCTTAAGAGAACTTGTACCTCCCTTAGTTTGTCTCGATTTTGAACAAATTTTATGAAAGCCTTTTTGGAAATATTTTGAAACGAAGTTTTAAGGGTCATTAAAACAGTGCCAGAATAAACAGACACATTGAATTCTGCAAAGCTGATCGTACCACTATTATAAGGAACAGTCAACGGCGAAATCAAACTCCTTCAAAATCGCTCAAAGGTTTACCACAGGTAAAGTAATTCAACGTTTATTTATCATTGATTTATATACATAGTTAGCGATATGTCGCTATAGGTGAAGAAAACAGTAAATCCAGTACATTTTAATACTATAAAATAACAATCGGCTACACAAATAGATTGTGTGGGCTCCCTGTGATCGTACTACGTGAAAATTTGCAAGGGTGCATGATAGTTGAGTTTCATGTAGTGCGATCAGCTTTGCAGAATTTAATGTGTCTTCTTTGTATAATTTTCCTGATCAGGTATTCTATAGATCCTATGTTCTTCGGCATATGCGTTTGCGGTCCTTTGCAGTTTAAATGTTATTTTATTTCTTATTTTGGGGCCTTAGGCCTAGTTTAGACGCCGTACTTTTCATGTGCCGAACCTAACTGAATAAGTTCGACTTTGGAGCGACACTGGCGCGATATCTGATTCAGACGGCGTACCGTGTGCCGAACCTAAGTTAAGTTAGACAAAAGTTCGACAGAGTCTGTCGAACTTAACGCTTTTGCCGCACTAAACTAAAACTGCCGTACCAAATTGATTCAGACGCCGCTCTTTTGCCGTACTTAATTCATCAGTTAGGTTGGGCACATGGGTGGAGCGGCGTCTGAATCGGGCCTAATTGACTACTCCAGAAAATACCAAAACATACCATAATGCTCTTTGTTTGTCGCCCCAAAATTTTGCAAAAGCATTGTCTTCAGTTTCTCTTGGGAGTTAAAATGGCCCCAAGAGGAACTGAAAAAAAAAAAGCAAAAAGAATTATGGTATGTTATGGTATTTCTGGAGTCGTCAATTGTATCTAAGCAACTGTGAATAGAATCGTTCCATATTCATGTACACAATTATGATAGCGGTTCTCAACATCAGTCGCACCATTAAGTAGCCTGCGAACAGCAGACGCATTTCCGCAGGTTTATATTTTATCACCCGCCCTCGACGGACTTTAAAGAAGAGAAAATAGAGGGTCTGTGAACAGGCTAGCACTTCCTAACCCTTGGTTCCTGTTAGTTTTCATATGAAGCAGTTAACCCCCATGTCCACCCCTGCTATTTGTTCATTTGGCCCCAAACAGTGCCTCGGTCTGGTGTCAAGATGGCGTCCTTTTATTCCGAGCGAGGCAGCTGGGAAAACAAAGCGGGTAGCGAGGAATTATCTTTTGCAGTATTCCGAAAGGATTCCTCAAAAGACTGTTAGTGCAGGTAAGTTTGTACTTCATCTATTTATTGGGTATTTTAGATGTTCTTCACTTAAATATCTTTTGCTGTGAAAAACGAATTTTGCTATCGTGATTCAGTCCCCATTGAAAGATACATTTTTAAGTCTGCCAGGAAGCATATGCTGCGCTTACCGTTGAAGCGTGTACCTAGTTGTTCTTAAAGTGCTCTTTTAAAAATAAATATTCCTTATTCATTGCTCAGTGTCAGTGGTTAAAGTTCGTTTCAATTTTGCACTATCAAGAGGTCGAAAAAGGAATTAGTGCATCTAATATAAAAAGTTCAAACAATTCCCGGCCTTTGACCCGAGTAGACAGAAAGGAAATTGAGTGCCTGGCTGATCCGCCCTGGATTGCTGACTGGAGTGGTTGTATATGTTACAGGTCAAAATTAAATTCAGGTTAAATTTTTTAAACTTTGGTCGATTCTCAATTTCGAACCAATTTCCTTTGTCTCCTAGCCTACCCCGTGAGTAGAGGCTACATTTTCGCAGTATGAGCTGGCGTGCGAAAAGTACTAATTTTATTCATGAATTAGGGCTAGGAAATAAATAAAACTGAGAATTGACCTAGGTTAAAAAAGCTTAAAAACTTTTATCTTGCATTTAATTTCGACCTGTAACATATAACAAAATGCAAATTAATTATCAACAAACAAAATAGTTTTAAGTGTCAGGAGTGCGCTTATACAGGAGTCAATAAAGTATATTGATATTGGAGCGGCCAGAAACATCACTGGCAGATCCAGGGGAGGGGCCCGGGGGACCCGCCCTCCCTTATTTTTAGAACCAAACTGAGGCCTAAAGGGTGGAAAAAATTTTTTTTGGAGACCGGCCCCCTCAGTATCCCCCCCCCCGCCCCATCTCAAGGTCTGGATCCGCCACTGAACGTTGAGTTTGTTATACATGTAATTTAAGTTAAAGTAGACTGATGGAACTGGATTTAGTCTTGAACATTTATTGCTACTCAGTGTTACATGCCTGTTTTTCAGCAATCATCACGCAATTTTTAAATTGCCTGATGGTGTGGAACTTAAAAGTTCCGCATTTTCTCAGGGCTACAAGGTCTGGTTTTACATGCCACAGTCAGGTTGCCTAAGAGGCTTCTTGCCTGAAGTTAAATTAATTTGAAGCTGTTGCTTTACACTATGCAATCACTCTCTTTATGTTACTTGTCGCTTTTAATACACATAATGTCCTTCCAAGACATTGTGGCTACATGTTGAAGCGTAAATTAACTGTGGGATTTGAGCGACATCCCAGTGGGGGAACTCATTTTAGGGTAAAAAATGTTTTAATAATTTTTTTGGGTGACTTATGGTTCATTGATGATTCAGTTCTGTAGCCTGAATATTCCAGATAATGATCATTAGAGAAGCTGTTTTTCAGTGGCTCTGGCACAATCTCATTGCCAACAGCCACTAGACATGTACAAAGTTATGAATCTTTAAAAGAAATGTTTGAAAAATGTTTTCTATTTTTTAAAGAAAAGTTTTGTTTTAAATTATTATTAATGTAATTCAAATTATCTTGACAGCTAAACATTCTAATGCTTAGTTGCACTGTATAAATAATTGATGTTTTATTATTATTATTATTGTTATTATTATTATAATTAATGATATGACTTACTCTTTTTAAGTACTATTAAAGTTTATAATGAGGTCATTTCTATGCACTGGGAGTAACCCCGCTCTCTACTTTAAACTTCCTTCTCGGCATTTTCTTTTGGGCAAATTATTTTTGTAATAGAAGTCACTTGTTTGTCCACATTGCTATCCTAATCCTAGTCAAGTGGTCTTCAATTTACTGCGCTTTTCACAAACATGCGAATTGTGAAGTTCAAAAGCCAACTGACGATTGCATTTTTCACTGCTGTCAATCAACTTAACGGACCTCTTAGGAAACAAAACTTTACTTTAACGGGTTGAAAAGGTCATGGTTTGTGATTTGTGATTGGTGGATTTCGATCCATTTTGTGTGTTTTTGTGTTTCAAGGTTCGTTGCTTGTGATCGTAATTATGATTGACGGCAGCAAAAAACACAATCGTGAAGGTGGCTTTTGAACTTAAGAGTTTGCATTTTTGTAAAAAGCTCAGTAACAGTCATAAACAACTTGGACATCTAACTTGTGCAAAGGGGAAGATACCTTTTGAACCATAACCATACCCATGATTCAGCCACACAGGTTTTAAGCAAAATGTAAAACAAAAACACATTTTAAAGTGTCAACTTAAAAATTGACTTGAAAATTCCAATGCCAGTTGAGGAGATAAGACAGGAACCAAGGCATGACCAATTAGTGTATTAAGACTTTTGTAATCAAACAAGAGAATCACTAATAGTCAAGTAACAGGAACAGTATGGCAGATGCCAGGCTACGGCATGCTGATAGGTAATACATGGATATGTAGCTTCTACATATGCCCAAACTTTGGGAGCTGATATTTTTCATCAGGAATAGAATGCAGCATTAGGCAGCATTATGGGAAGTTTTGTTTCTTTTTGGCCAGACTGTAACCAGAAAACAGGTTGACTAGCCTCAAAGTGGATTTTTCAGCAAAAGTTCTAGGAATAAGTAAGTCTAAGTGGCTTATTGATTGGCCATTACCAGAACTTGGTCATTATGTTTGGATACCACTTAGCAATGGTTCACTGGATGGCAAGCCATTCAAGCGTTCATTCCAATCACAAATCTTTGAATGTGTTTGAGCAAAGAGTTTCTCTATTCTTCTCTGTTGAAAATTAACCAAAATGACTGGACTAGAAGACTTAAAAGATATTTGAATTAACATAAGAAGGCTTCACCCGATCCCACTCATAGCTTTGTAATCTGAAATGCTTAGATGGCTGGCCATTAAGTGAGCCATTGCTAAGTGGTATCCAATCACGTGACCAAGTTCTGCATAGGGTTAATTATCTACTTAAAATTATATTGCAAATTTCTTAAAACCTTGCACCAATACAATAAGGGTGGTGGCTAATCATGCACAATAAATGAAGAAAATAAGGAACCTCTATGTACCCGTGTAACAAATGCAGATGAAACTGTTGCAAAGAACTGAAAAAATAGATGTAATTAATGCCATGAATTAAAGTTAAAAGATTTGTCTTTTAAAAAAATTGACGAGAAGGTGCTACCTTTGTTAAATGTCTGCAAATGGTTAGACCTTGTTGGACATTAAGGACAAGAAAAACAGTAGGCCAGGCTGTCTCACAGTGCTTTTACTGATCTGATTCTGTGGGTCGCAAAAGAACATTCAATCACTGATCACTTAGCAAATGGCATCATCTGTCTCAAGGCAGCACTTTTCTTAGAGCCAAACTCATTTGTGTTGGTTCTGCCATGTTAATGCAGTTAAACTGTTCTAAATCATTGTTTTCTTTTTATAATAATAAACTTAGTGTATTTGTAGGGAAACATGTACATGTAGTTATCTTGAAAGAATCTAGGTACCTACATTACATGTTTTTTAGGTTCTTGGTTATAACAGGTGATGATAAATATAAAATTCTCCATTTTTTGTTTATGGTGGTAATGAGGGTTACCGAAAATGCTTCAATTACCTTAAATGTTTTCTTTTTGTATAATTTTCATTTTGCTAGTTGTGTTTTACATCTCAAACTCAAACAGAAATTATAATAATAATAATAACAACAACAACAACAGCAATGATAATAATGATGATAATAATACTAATAATAGTTAAATATGCATGACATCTTGTTGTTAAACTATAGCGCAATTTGTAAAAGAAAAATAGTGTTGCATTGCTGACATGACGAAGAGTACATGTATCGATTCAAGGAGCCTTTGAAAAGTTTATTGATAGTGGTCTTCTTTTTGCTTTCTCTTTACAGGGAAAGATACCATGGCAAAGCAGTCTGATCACATAGTTGCTCTCACTGACATCGCCAGTGGTAATGAAATCGGTAAAAATGAACCAATTTCAGTGAAATGTGAAGAGGATCCGCTTGAGAGTGCCGAAGCCACTAAAAAGTCAAAAGGTTGTAGGCATGAAAGAATCGAAACCGTGGGCAGTGATATAACGGAAGGATCATCAAAGGTGGATCAGGCGAGAAAAGAAAGTAAACCGTCATGCAGTGAAAATTCTTTCGTGTGCAAGGTCTGTGGCAAGACGTTTCGGAGACTGTCTAAATTAAAGGCCCACAAAGTTTCACACAGAGATGACAGACCTTTCCAATGTGTTAAATGTGGTAAGAGTTTCAAGTGTTCAACCAAATTGACGAGGCATGTCGGAACCGTTCACTCCAATAAAAGGCCTTTCAAGTGTGACGAATGTGGTAAGGGATTCAAAACTATGGAGGACATGAAGTCTCATGGCCTTGTGCACAAGAAAGAGAGGCCGTGGAAATGCACTGACTGTGGAAAGTCATTCAAGAAAGCTGAAATTCTGAAGACCCACGAGAAAACACACACAGTGCGGGAGAGACTTCATAAATGTAACCAGTGCGAGAAAAGTTATACGACAGCATCCAGCTTGAAGTATCACATGGTAACACACAACGAGGAAAAATCATTCACTTGCAGATTTTGTGGCAAAACTTTCCACTTCCTTCGTAATTTGAAATTACATGAGAGAACACACTCGGGGCGGGAAACGCCGTTTAAATGCCTATTATGCGCAAAATCGTTCAAGACCTCAGAAGAACTGAAGAAACACAAGCTTTCTCACTCCGACGAAAGTCATCTTAAATGTAATATTTGTGAAAAGACTTTCGATTTTCCCGCGGAAAAAGTGGCGCATCTCAGAAAAGAACACAATGATGATAGGCCTTGGAAGTGTCACGTTTGTGACGCATCCTTTAAAACTTCTGGTCACCTCAAGGAACATGGTAATGTACACAGAACTGATAGACCTTTTAAATGTGACCAGTGCGACAAGTGCTACAAGGGAATTTACGAGTTAAAAGTTCACAAGATGGCTCACACTGGTGAGAAGCCGTACAAATGTAGTCAGTGCGACATGGCTTTTGCGACATCTTCTCAACTTTGTACGCACAGACGGTGGCGCCATGCTGATGAGAAACCCCACAAATGCCCATTTTGTGAGAAAAGTTTCAAGACAACAAGTGCTGTCGCTAAGCACGCAGCTGTTCACAAAAAAGACAGACCCTTCCAATGCAGTATCTGTGAAAAGTTCTACAAGTCATTAGACGTTCTTAGATTTCATCGGCAACGGGTGCACAGTGACGAGAAACCTTTTGAGTGCCAACTGTGCGAAAAGTCTTTCAAGACAGCACAAGAGTTAAAGATGCATGGAAGGGCGCATAGCGATCACAGACCTTTCAAGTGCTCTTTGTGCGAGACTTCGTTTAAGGATAATAACAAACTCCAGCGTCATCTCAGCACGGTACATACCGATGAAAGGCCATTCCAATGTACACAGTGTGAACGAGCGTTCAAGAGTGCAGGAGAATTGAAGAGGCACATCCTAACTGTACACAATATGGAAAAACCCTTTAAATGTTCAGAATGTGATGCAGCTTTTTCTTCAGAAGGTAATCTTCGTCAACATTCCATGGTGCACTCAGATCACAGACCTTTCAAGTGTTCTTTGTGCGAGAAGGCCTTTAAATCATCGCGTTACTTACGATTACACGGCAGAGTTCACACTAGCGTCAGGTCTTTCAAATGTTCTCATTGTGATAAGACGTTCAAGGCTAAAAACGATCTGGCAAGACACAATACAGAAACGCACAGCGGTGAAAGACCCTTTAAGTGCAGCCACTGTGAAATGACTTTTGTTAGGTCAATACATCTTGAAAATCACGAGAGGACACATAAAAATCTACGGTACAAATGTTCCCAGTGCAAGCAATCATTCAGCAATCGCACAGACTTGAAAGGACACAGCCGAATCCATGCGGGGGAGAAACCATTTGAGTGTTGGCTTTGTGGGAAAGTCCTCATCTCACACACTCTATTGCGACACCATACCCAAACTTGTGTCAATCAGCTTTTAGATTGAAACCCAAACAGTTAAGTAAAGGGCGTGGCTGTAAGGCAAATGATTATTTTCGTGCTAATAAGTCCGATTTTTTTCTCATGAAATCTTAGTTAAAACCGTTTTACTTCCATCAAAGTCAATTTTATGTTGTAAAATGCTGACAAAAAACTAATTGCACCATTTGAAAGAACTGGTGAAGAGGATTTTATTTGATTATTTACATCGCAAGATCAAAGTGTGGAGCGACATTCAAAAGTGCTGAGTACATTAAGTTTAGCATTTATAGTAAAGAAACTCAGACAAACATATTGAAATTAACACTGCAAATTCCGTACATGTTTTGACCATTGTAGTGTTATGTTTGTCTGACGTTTGTCATTAAAATGAAATTAAAAAAAGAAAAAAGAATCAGTCACTCTGATATCATTTGTGTGCTGTGCTATTCTCCATCATTCCGTCTGAAGTGAAAAGATTGATTCGCCACTTTAGAAACGAGAAGGAAACTGGAACCGAAATGCCGTTGCGCAATTGTTTGTGGGATCGATCGTTACTGGGGAAGCGCCCGTCAGCTACATTAGGGACCTGAGGAAACTACGACGGCGACGGCAACGGTCATGTCAAAAACCAATAGGTTTAGTTAGCAAAACAACTCTCCACGTGCATCACGCTTTTTTGTACATTTCTTTGCCGTCCCGCCCCACAACTACGACGTGAAATAACCAATTTTTAAGTTTTTTTGAGGAGGGGAACGGCAAGGCGATAAATTCTACCGTCTCTGTCTGAACTCGGGCGCGGCCCCCTCTTTTCAGCTCCAACATAAATTGCCTTTTTTTTAGTAACTGGGATCTGGGATAATCGCAAAATGGTTTGATAGGATGCGGAGTTTATTTTTCAGCGACTTTTTCATGGACGTCGCCGTTGTTGGATCGTAAGGATCGTATAGTGGCGGGCACAAACGTGCTTCGCACCATACAAACATCTGTAAATTTTGGCAACTTTGGAGAGCTATATCTTTGCTCGTATCACTCCCGGAGCCCATCACCCAGGCTCCTGATCACTTTCAAGTTTGATAATTTATTAATACATGTATCAGATTAAGGCGTTGTTTTCAGTGGTGTCGACGAATTTTCCCTAACTTGTCCATGTCAAAAGTTGAAAACACCGCGAAAGGGTCAATTACAAAAAAGGGAAGCAGAATATCTGATGACCTGCTACAAGGTGACGTGCTTATCCAATCATATCTCGGAAAGTTTAATCGACAGTTCACAACTACTTAGATCTTAAATAAATCCAAATCTAATGGAAAAGAAAACAAATCATGAAATACTAAAAAAAATAGTACTTTATAAAACTGGTTTTACATATTTAAATCGTGCAAAGTAAAACCAATAGATTCAAAAGAACTGAAGGAAACTGATTTGTAGACGTGTATATTAATACCAACCACCCACCCCCCCCCCCCCCCCCCGCCCCCCACCCCCCCCTACCCCCGCTCCCCCCCCCCTCCGACCCACTCCACCCACACCAGCTCTGCCTCCATGCGCGTACAGCTTCATCTGTCCCACCCCTCTCTAATAAAAGAAAACACAAGAAAAAAAATACAAACCAATCCGTTTATACAAGCTATATCTTACCCCCCCCACCCCCCCCCCCCCCATGCATCCTATCCAGCTGGTTTGCCTATCGTCCTCTCTTATCCGATGAAAACGGTCACCGAAAACGTATGTTTCCAGAGTAGAGATTTTTGAAAACTTCGGCTTCTCCTTTACGTGTGGACTGACGATTATGTCATACATCATGCACTTCTAGCATGACGCATGCTCCTTAAGAGATGCTATCGTATTTCCATCGTTTTAGCGGTTTCGTGTGGACGGGCGAAAACGATTCGAATACGCTACGTGTGGATGCGTATTTTTTTTTGAAATCGGAGCAAAATTCAAATACATCCGGATACGTTTGGACGGGTCTTAACCTTTTTTTCGTGAAGTGAAACGTGTTCAAATCATAAGTTAAATTGTTTTTTTTTTCTTTCATATTTATTTATTTATTTATAGAGTGTAGTATTATTTATTCATATATAATTTAATCGACATGATTAATGTATTCATTGATCGTTAGATTCAGGTTGTCTTCACAATACCACAATGCCTGTACATGTCATGACACGAAAAATACTCCGGCCTTGAATTAACCCGTTCACACTGCCACAAAAAGCGGCGCAGAACCTATTCAAACCCATCAAGATCGGTGCAACGCAGCTTCGCTCCGTTACTAAAAAGTGGCGCCGAGATAACCTCAGTTTTTATGTGTGAACAGAGGCCTTATCCGGTATGTTTTTCGCGCCTGCGCAAGAGTTATCCGCTATAGAACGTTTTCACATGACGTCACGGCGGCCATATTGGTGTCCCAAAACAATGAAACGGTCGCCATGTTGGTGTCCCAAACCAGTCCTGTGGGAGTTGAACTCTTTTCTTATGCAAACGCTTTCTTTTGTTCCAATAAATTTGCGTAGATGCTGGCCACGTGAGAGAAAACACTCTATAGTGAAGACATCCTCAATTTTCAACCTTATGATACTTGCAAACGGACGCAACATTGTTGGTCAACAATTCCCAACATTGATGTTACATGCTGCGTCCGTTTCCACACTCTGTTGCATGTTGTTGCGTGTTGTTGGGAGTTGCTGCGCGCACTTTTGAAACCGGTCAAAATGTTAGCAATGTGCAAACGGACGCAACAACTCCATGTTGGGAGTTGTTAGCCAACAATGTTGCGTCCGTTTGCACGGGGCTTTAATCATTTCGGCATATTTTCTAGAATAGTTTTAGCTTGTGACATAATTTGATCTTTTCGGATTCAATTCTCTTGTAATAAATTATTATTTGAACTTTCTGTATTTGCGTTGTTGTTCGAGGTTCTAATTCAGGGCTCTTTTCTCGAAATTCCTTGTGTTTTGTTAACGGGTGGTTTTGTTGAATAACTTTCAGAACTATTAAAAATAGTTTAAAACACGTCGAACTCGAAGCGAGCGTGTTTAGCTCTACCATAGTTCATTTCATCTATACTGTATATTATACAGCTATTTCAAAAAAAAAAACGTCGGAAGACAAGCAAAAAGCCTTTAAGCCAAGACCGAAAGGTGATGTGGGATTTTTATAATGACATGGGGGTTTTGCGGCCACTCAATTACGTCTCTGATAACAATATTCATCGTCTTTCTGTAAGTGAGAGTATTTCTAAACGTTGGACAACTGTTAAAACAAAGGTGGTTGGAGGGCCGTCTTTTGAATGTATCGATAATGATATCTTGCTTGGGATAGATTTGAAAAGTATTGTTATTGAAACTGTTAAGTTGTTTGTTTCCTGGCCGTTTCAAGTCTGTATGATGAGTTTAACAAGGACTATAATCAATTTAAATATTGAAAAAAGCCTTTAATGAGGATAACATTCTATAAATCGCAATGTACAATTAATGCTCTAAGTCACATAAAATACACTAACTTCAGCTTGGAATGTAGCAGAAATATTTATTCTAAAATACTTTACGTCTAGGACTATGGATAATATGTACTGTACCGAGCCTAAATTCGCACAAATTCCATGTACATGTTTACTAACTATTGGAATTTTGACACGCAATACAAAATATACTATACTATTACCTGTTTTACATGTCGTTTCCTATCGTCTAAACAAAGTGCCATTTTTACCAAACAACGCAAACCAAACCAAACAACGTAAACTGAATAAATATTGCTTTAGCTCAGGCAATGCTTCAAATGAAGTTGCAAGTGAACCATAAAGGCAAGCAGTTCGAGAGAAAACGGCACTTTAAGCTAATCACAAAGCCTTGAATTTATTATTTATTATGTTGCACTGAAAATGTTCAAAGAGGCGTGGTTTCGAAAATTACATAAATATAAATTATCATATCTACCGTAAGTTTTGAAGACAAAATCGACAATGCTCGCTAAGGGAAAAATTCTTCCTCCAAGTGAAGGAATTCTTTTCACTGCATACACGCTTGTTTCAGCACGTTACCTCAAATTTATTAAAATTCGTCGATTCAGTTGTAGCGTGACTTTTTCTCGTTACCCTCGTTTGATAAATATGAAGTACGTACATTATTTACCAACTGTGTTACATCGTTAAACAAACGAATGGTGATTCGTTTTCTTTCCTTACAGAGGAATTCCCCACGATAATAAAATTGTACAAATTATTCTACGAAACTTATCAAAACCTATTTCCTATTACGCCACTAAGTCTCTGATTCTACATTCACAAAAGGTCGCGGGAGACAAGTACAAAAAGTTATTTCGTCAGTATGGCGACGCAAATTGGACCAACGAGTAGTCGTTATAAATGTTCTTACCAGTAAGAATAAAAGTCTGAAAGTTGCGATCTGTAATTGATCATGTTGCGGTACAGAGGAAAAATACATATTGGAACTCCGACACGTGATGTACACATCTTTAAAAGCGAGCTGGAAACACTAACATTTAGAACTCGCCAAGATGGTAAAACTGATCGGGTGTTATCAGCCTGCACAAGATCAAACTGTTTGTCCTACCCAAAAAATCATGTCCGCTTTGAGGGGAAAAAAAGAGTCTCCGGATTCTAGTAACTATGAGGGTACTTCAGTTCTTCGACCCCTCCCTGCCGAGTCTCAGACCCATACGTCATCATTCTTTCCACCCCCACTCCCACCCCCACTGTCCTTCAACCTAAGGGTCCTGTCATTTGCGTTGTCATTCTCGTCTCGTTCCGAGTTCGCGGCTGACGCGCGCGATGAGCTTAACACTTCATCCATGGGAAATTCTTCTCTTGATCGGCTACCCCTGGAATAACTATCATCAGATGGGTAGGGAGGGGGTGCATGGTTTATACTCTCCGCCCAACTGCGATGTCGATCGGACTCCGAAGAGACGTCGGTGGCTCCCGATGGCTCACCATCCACGTAGTCGTTATCATATCGTCTTCTGCTCGGATCTCTCAGGCTTCGTTCGTCGGGAGTGCGAGGAAGAGACGTGGCTTCGAAATCCATGGGCGCTCGAGCTAGTTCAGCGTTCCGAGTACTGTCGAATTGCCATCCTTCGTTCTTCATTTGTTGCTGTAACTGGCTATGGCTCCAAAGATTGGCGAGAACCTGGGACAAAATGAAGCGTTTATCGCTGAGAAAAGACATGATGACCAAGAGAGCTAAACAATATACATGTAACAACAATATCAAACTTGGTACCCTCGGTACCAGAGACTTTTCATGCGCGGTTTCCGGTTGCTGTCAAAGCCCGCCATTCGTGACTTCGGCCTCTGCCCGAAAATCTGTCGGCCTCTGGCCGACACCGAAGCATCCAGCCGCACGCGAGAAAAACCTCTAGTACCCAGAGTACAAACTTGGCTAAGTATAAAAAAATGTATACAATACTTCATAGACATACATTCACATACGATAGTCTGCCGATAAAGTAAAGCCTACGACTTACCTGACAAGCTATTTTTATGACCCTGGGTGAGAAAGTTTTAGACTGATCCGTTGCTATTCTCACCATCTTGTGAATTCCTGGGGTTTTACGGAGATACCTAACAAAAAAGAAACGAAAAGAAATTCGTTTACCCATGGCAACTCATTGTAAAAGATTTCCTGCCTTCCAGATCAAATTGGAACTTTAAAAAGTTGGTTTATCGTTATTAACAGAAGAGAAGAGAGAGAGAATAAATCAGGAAGACAAAATCACGTAATGAGTGCATTAAAAAGTATAAACCAGTATCTTAGACTTTTCGCTACTTCAACGGCGTATCTCTCGCGACTCATTCGTTCTCACGGTACAATTTGTAACTAAACTCCTATCAATGATAGACCTCAATAAAAATAGGTCTTATACGAAAGAGTATGCATATGTTGTAGTTCAATTTTATCCTTGGTTTAATTTTAATTTTCTTCTGTATCAAACTCGTTATCATATATTACCATACCCACAAACAAAACAAAACCCACAAACAAAAGAAACACAATATATATAATACTAACTTGGCGTTCTTGTCGTTCTTATTGGTCAGCTGAAAGATGGCGCACAGAAGCGAGGCTACCGTTGGGTCCTGGACAAGTCTCGGCTTCTCCTCATCCCCGGTGGGGAGTCTTTGTACAAGATGGACTACAGCTTTCTCGCCTAATGAGAAATGAAAAATGTACAGTTTTATGTATTGCACTGGTTTTCTTCACCGCAGAAAAACTACGCAAAAACAAACAAACAAATCAGTTATTATTTAACACCTCGCTCGGAATCGACTTTGTAAGGAAATGTCAAGGCAAAAAAAGAGAGTAAATTTTTACTATGCTAAAAAAGACATACATGGTTGTTGTATGTATGTTTCGGGGGTGGGGGGGGGGGGGGGGAAGGATTGAGCAGGGGAAAGGAAAAAAATACAAAACCTCGGGACTCGGGGTTTTCTATTTTTTTTTAAAAAAAAAAATAAATTTAAAAAGCATATAAGAAAAACGAAAAGAGTAATGGAAGGACACGTGCAGAGATTTATATACAAAAATTGTTCACACCATTTTCATACACTAGTTGCTTTTAAAGTTGAGATAACCGGCAATCATAAGTTCCTTCTTACCAACAGATTTTTTATTTTCTGGGTCCACGCATAAGTTCCGAAGCGCAATGGCGGCGGCACGAATTGTTGGATCATAATCAATTCGCAGCAGCTCAACCAGGGAAGGAATTAGCACGAGCAAGGTAACATAATCATGACCTCGCGTACTCGCGTATTTCATATATTTTGTAAAACAAGAAATAATATTAAAAGACCATTACGAAAACGCAAAGAGTAATGGAAGGACACGTGCAGAGATTTCTATACAAAAATTGTTCACACCATTTTCATACACTAGTTGCTTTTAAAGTTGAGATAACCTGCAATCATAAGTTCCTTCTTACCAACAGCTTTTTTATTTTCTGGGTCCACGCATAAGTTCCGAAGAGCAATGGCGGCGGCACGAATTGTTGGATCATAATCAATTCGCAGCAGCTCGACCAGCTGTGGAATAACTTGAGCTTTTCTCGTGTCTCCGCGGATCTTGATCGCCCACTAAGAAATATTAAACAGTGAACCTATCATTAGCCTGCGAAAACAGACGTTTCTCCCCTCTCCTCGCCGATGGGGACGTTTCTCGAGGAGGAACGTCTGCGACTCACCGACAGAAATTCCATACTGATGACGTAAAATCTGTCCGGAATCCGATCATAAACGCTGATTAGACGACGGAGTAGTTACATTGTCTTAGCTATTGTTTACGAAAGACAGATAAAAGACAAAAGGCAACAAAGGTCAAACGTAAACGATGAATCTATAACAAAACAAACAATATTTGTGGAATATATTCTTCTCTAGAAGAAGCATTTGACGTTCGTAGATGAACTCAACACTTCACCAAAATCGACCAGGAGAAACGTAAAATTCATCAAATTTACATTTGGAACCCCATGACTACCGGATTTATTATGTAAACACTGATTTACGTTATCAGTATGAAATTTCTGTCACTGAGTCGCAGACGTTCCTCCTCGAGAAACGTCCCAAGCGGCAAGGAGCGAGGAGAAACGGATGTTTTCGCAGGCTAACTTATTATCATATCAAAATCACGGAAACATGCCTGAAAACATGCACAATTCATGTATTATGTTTGCTGAAACAGTGACGCAAGCGCACTGGGAAACAAAATTGAGTTTACCCAACAGGAGTCGAACCTACGACATTCTGGTTACTAGTCTAGTTGCTCTATCATCCAGCCACAGGAGACTCGTAGAGTTTTAAAGCCATTGAACCAGGTTCATGGAACAAGCCCTTTTTATTTACTTTTTTGCATGGTTTAGTAGTTTGAAGCTATTCATCCTCTTACTCGATCAAAGTTAGGGAAGAATCATGCACCAACATCTCAAATTCGTCCACAAACGCAACGGTTTGAAATGCACCCTGAGTCACATTCTACAAGGACTAATTTTAACCTGGCCCCAGTTCATTGTTCAAAACATGGATAACGTTATCCACCGGATAAATCTCTATCCAGTGGATAACGCAATCAGTTTCCCTAATACTTATCCAGTTTTCGAGTGGCAAAACAATATTTTACGAACGAGCGCAGCGAGTGAGTAAAATATTGTTTTTGCCACGAGATGGTGCCGGCTATCCATCGTTTGAACAGCCGGAGCCGCTGAACTATTACTGTCTTTCTCATATGTAGACCTGAATGAAATGGAACTGGGGGGAAGTCTAGGCAACATGCAGAGCCAATTCTGAGATTCCTGAATGCAATATCAGCAAGCGAGACATCAGTGATCTCACCTTCCATGAACAGGCCGTTAGGTTGTGCAGTGCGCCCGCTGACCCCTCAAGTGTCTCGATATTCTTCGCTTTTCGTAACAACACAAAATACTGCTGTACTGTTTGTGGTTGCCATATAAGCTCCACTCCTTGAGGTGGGCCCTTAGGACGGTCCATGGGTCTGTTATCAGTAGGGACCTTTTTCTTCTTTCTTCCCCCGCACCCCGCGAAGCAGCCCTGTTTCTGCTGCTCCCTTACAGCAGCGGGGTCCACGTTGACGTCAGCATCATCATAACGATCCCTGTCAATCTCGCTTTCAAGCCGGTAGGACAAGTTTCTCAGGGTGCAAACAGAATGTTCTAGACACTGCGGATTGAAAGATTGAGTGAGAATTTGCCATAGTTTTCGTTTTTTTTATGGAAACGAAGAGAAAAATACATTTTATTTAACCAGCAAACAAAATGAAATTTTTTAGTTAATGACTGCGAGGAATTTCTAGCATAAATGTACATTCTTTGTTCAGCCCAGTGATTTTTTTTTTCACAATTCCACACTATACGAATCATTAACTGATAATACCTTGCAGGGGACTTTTGAAGCGACTTGCACTCATTCCCGCTAACTTCACCCGTTTACCCTAGGAAGCACTGGACGACGAAGTTTAAAGCGACTTATCAAGGTAGTTAAGTCCATTTGTTTACTTTTACCAATAATTTTTCTTGCTAAAAATTTAACCTAAGTGTAGAAATTTCTTCAAATGACGAAATCACAGCTTACGCAAACAAACATGTCCACTTTTCAGCGGTATTGTTCTACGTTACAAAGAACACATACAGAGTTATATACTTTGAAAACTGACAGGCTGAACATTTTTCAAAAAACTTAATTGTAATCCGTTTAATCTCATTCAGTTAAGTCCGTCTTTTCTTTTGAATTTGCTGTGTAATTTACATGTCCCTTCATTGTTTTGAGCAGTTGTTTTTTATTTTACTCAGTTTGGTGTCCAGTTGCTAGTGGAAGAATTTCGCTAAATTCCGAGACAGTTCTTTCAAGTACTGTGGAACGCAACTTAGTCTTGTGTAACTTCTGAAAAAGAAAAAAAAAACACTTACTTTTTCATCAAAATGTTGACTCTTAACGCCAATCCTAATAATCCATACAAGACAGTCGACCAAGTCCTTCTCGTCCCTGAGCTCCTGCCGTGCCCTGGTACCAGCTGAAGACAAATTGCGCACGAGTCTAGTAGCATGGACGAGTACTGCTGGCCAGGGTTGAGTTCTGTTTGGTAGCTGTCCTCGAGCCGCTGCCGCTGTCCACTCGGAGTAAGGGATGATGATTATGATGACGATAATGTGTAGGCAGGCGAGGAGGATACGAAGACGAAGAGACTAGACAAAAAAGGGAAAAAGAGACGTAAATAAACCGTTTGTAAAGTAGGAACGTTTTGCAGAACAGAGACGTGTTTCAATCCCTTAGAATCCCCTTCAAAAGGCGTGGTTTAAAACAAAGTACGAAATAAATCTCTGTGAAAAACGTTTCTTACCTCAACCGCGGATAAATTGCACAGTACACCTAAAATAGCTTCTCGGTACTGAAAGTGAAAAGCATACATAGAAATTAGGGAGACGAATTGCTTAACCGGTCCGCAAAATGAAAACAGCCGAAATTACTCCGCCGTACCTCAGTCTTCTCTGTTTGTTGTAAAATTTCAATCAACAGTTCTATGCCACCACAGTCAGCAATAGCCAGCTACAGTATAAATAAATAAATTAATTAATTAATTCATAAAATTCATAAAATGAAACATCAACAATTATCAGTGGAAAACAGAATTTTTCTAATGGTCTAGATAGTAAGTTGAAAAGAATTAAATCACAATTTTCAAACAATGAAATCCAAACATTTCGGTTCTCATGACAAAATGACAGAAACACATTTAAATGGTGTCAATTTCTTTACCCTTGAAAAGTTAGGAGCTAGTCACAGAGACGGTGCTTGTAAACCTTAAAGGGTTTCGCTACTTGTTTGTGAATAGCAGGAAATATTGTGACGTGAAACAAACAAAGTTTCTGCGAGACACGTTGCTACGTCAGATTTGCTACTAAAGTTCAGTTATACTTTCCTCAAAATGCCGATGTTCTGATAATGGTGCTGACATAGGATTACACTTTGTAACATAAATGAATTAATGAATAAATAACAAGGAAAAAAATATATTAAAAAAAAAAAATGAAAAAATTATGGATATTTTCAAACAAATACTCTGGGGAATAAGCGTTTATTCGAAGCTTCTTACCCGGTTAGCGTCGTGTTTAACACTGAAGGAGAGATTTCTCAGCAGGCAGAGAGCTGCATATCTTATACGCCACTGTGAATGCCTCAAAAGCCTTACAATCACCGGGATGCCACCAAGCTCTCTGTTGAATAATAATGAAATCAAAGAAAGAGCGTGTTAGCAACGGAGGCGCGGCAGTGCTGCTTGAACGCCGGTGAGGTACGCGCGCCACTAGAGCGAAGTTGTGAGAGACGACTGGGGACGAGTCTGAAATTATACCACGTGATAACGTTTTCCTTTTCCTTTTTTTATACTGTTCATTACTTCTACCCCACAATTAGTTGCTTCACGTTAGTTTTGGCCATAACCAATGCCTTGGACTGTTTTTTTTTTTTAAATCTATTTTGAGGAATTCTCAAGTGCTTGAATCTGACGGTTGCCATTTGCCATGAACGTGACTCTAAATCTCTCTAATGAATAGAAAGTCGCGCGTAAAAACGAAAAAGTTGAATCCCGCTCAAATTTTACGCTTTCGCGCGGCCCTTCAAAGATCGTCTCTATTTTATTTACGGACGTAAAAATTACGCGACAGTGGAGACCCACCCTAAGAGGTGGGCGCCTCTAGGCTTGGAGTGATGATAGGTGGCTGGACCTACAAACATCAAGCGAATTTGAACCAACCAACTCTTTTGTACCTTTATTCTTTACACTAGTACCTTCTTTCTTTTCTTCCGCTTTTCCCAGCATGGGAAGTATATAATAATGTACAAATAAACCACCTAGGTACCTGACTTTATCCTTGACATTTTCTTTACTGTAACACAAGTGCTGTAGATAGCCGGCTGCGTTGATAATTCTTGTCTCATCTCCCGACTGCATGTAATCAATTAAATCAGGAATATCCGGCTCCTGTCCAACTAGAGGGATGAAAAATAAAATCTTTTTAGTAATTAGTATAAAAAGGAAACAAAGAAAATACAAAGGGAAAAATATATAATCAATAAAAATAAATAACTGAAAAAGTGTTTACTAACCCAGCTGACCATAGTTCCAAGAATCTAAAACAAGAAAGTAGTAAAATACAGTCAAAATCTACAAGTCTTTGCGTCGGCAGTTCACTACATGCCTGAACTGGATTAACAAGTCCTATCATTTGAAAACTGTTTTCTATTTTCTAAGTGGATTAAAACATGCACGATTATCGTATTTACTCGAATAAAAGCCGCAGCGCTTATAAATTTTTACACACCAACTGCAGTGCTCATTAGAGGGCGGCTTTTATGTGAAAGTTCGTTGCCTTTGATTGCATCGGGGCCGCAGCGCTTATTAACTTTTTCTTCCATTATTCGAGTAAATACGGTAAGCAGAAGGAGGGGGGGGGGGGGTAGTGGGGTGTGGGGGGGGTGGCGGGCACGAGTGTTGGTGCAAGGAAAAAGGAAAGTGGTAATGAAACAAATGTCACAAACCCTGTATTTTGAATGTGATAAAAAACTTCCCTTTTTTCTTTTTTACCACAAAAAAAGCCCCCGGTTTTATATATTTTTTCCCTCCCACCGTGGGGGCTTTTTGTGGGGGGTTTTTTTTTGGAAGTTGTTTTTTTTTTTGTTTCGGGGGGCACGCCGCTTTTTTTCTTTTTTTTTCCTATTTTGGGAGAAAAAGGGAAAAGAAGAGGGGGGGGGGGGGGGGTTGGGGGGATGTGGGGTGGAGGCGACGACAGGGTTGCGGTGAAAGGAAAACGACAGAGTGAATAGTACCAATTCCACAAATCCTATTTCGTTCAGGTTGCCTATCATCCGCTTGCTCTTCGCGGCTCTTCACTCCTTCATTAACTGCGTCACACTCAGGATTAATTGAACGCGTGTCTATTTAGTGTTAACGCAGGAATACCGCAAATGTCTAAGTGCAAATAAAAGCTAAAATACTTCCAATCAGAGGTCAAACAACTTACCGAGTGGCAGTTCAATATCATTGTGTCGTCCGCCTATCCAGTTACCACACTTGAACACGTAACGCTCGCCACGAACCAGCGAAAATATCACGACTTCCTCCAACAGCCATCGAGAACTGGAACCAGAATTGTCGTGGCCGACACGAAGCATTTTCAACTGAAAAAGAAGGTAAAGAATCAAGGAAGAGAAAGGTACGGCGTTCCACTTTTTCTTGTGCTAGCTGAGAGCTTCAGGCAATTTTGCGAGACGTCTTCGCGTCAAACAGTACAATTGGAGATGTCAAAGATACGAAAGTTACACAATACCGTAAGTATCATGACCCTGCTGTTTGATGTCATTGTTCGAAATTTGATTAAAAAAAGGTTATTAGGATGCGAAAACAGGTAAGTGGGGACATATCAATGCCATACGTGGAAGCTACCGTGTGAGGGTGGGCTAGAAGAGAATGAATTACATGTAGATCATTTGTGCAAAACAAAAATATAGTACCATTCAAACTGGCCAAAGCCGGCATTTCATTACCCTGGGTACCAGAGGTTTTTTTCTCGCGTGCGACGAGGATCTTCCGACACGTCTTCGGCCGGGCCGAAGACGTGTCGGAAATCGCGCATGAAAAGCCTCTGGCACCTCGGGTAGCATTTCGTACATCCTTTCTTGTGTTTCCTCTTAATCGTAAAGGCACAAAGAGCAAACAAACAACAATAACAGCGAAAAACAAACAAACAAAAATAAACAGACTAAGCATTTCCCCAACGTGGATGTGCAAGCTCCAAGGTTTCTTGGTGTCTCGATCCTAGACAAAGCGTGATTCACGATATATAGTGCCACTTTCTATCGTAAGGATGTAGCACTACTATTGTAGCTCAATTTCTTGTTACCCCAACTCACCCTGCCAACATCCCTCGCTCGAATCCTGAACCTGTCCAGCTGTCCTCGATTAAAATAGCCGCCTTCTTTATTTTTGAGTTCGATTTCTTGGCTTTCTCCATCCTCCCCGATCATTTGGAAATACACGTTAGCGTCTGTACCCGCGTTTTCTTCAGCGGCTGTCTTGAATTCTACGTCATACTCCGAGTCTGGTAAAAAATAGGGTAGGACTGATGAACACTGTTTCTATAAAGCCCGGATATTACCATTAAAAAAAATCGCCCACAAATGGTGGAAGACATTTCCAACAATTTCTTCAGTGAAGTGAAATATATGAAATAAATCATATTTTAAACTGAAATAAATTTCATATATTTCATTTCAAGTCATTTCCACCATCGGGTATATTACCAACTCACAATGGCCTGCTCCGGCTTCAGTTGGCTTGATTAGCTCAAAAATGGATAGAGTATTGTGTCCAGTCATCGCAAAGGTCAGGGTTCGAGTTCCGGTCAAGCCTGAATTTTTTCAAGGTTCTTTTTCAACTGCTTAGGTTGCTTATTCAACTGCAAGGATCATTCTTACCTGTGAAGCTGTCGGGATTAGCGGCTGAGTGCTGTATTTTTTTGGTAACGGCGGAGCTAGACTGTTCACAGTCCCCTATTTTTTCGTAAGATCGACAGGATCGAGCGCTTACCGGTAGTGGCGGCCATCTTTGTTTCTAACGTACCGAGGGGAAGGGCGTCGGGGACTATAGGGAGCCTTAGTAACGACGACGGCGACGGCAACCAGGATGTCAAAAAAGCAATAGGTTTATTACGCAAAACAACAACTTTGCACGTACATCACGCTTTTTTGTACATTTCTTTACCGTCCATGCACGACTACGACGTGAAAATGCCTAATTGCAAGTTTTATGGAGGACGTAAACAAGCGACGACGAATCTTGAGTGCGGTCTTCAAGAAATCAACTCCCGGGAAATTCGCCTACACTTGCCATTTTCAGCAAATTGGAATAAACGCGACAAAGATTGAAAAAACGGGAATTAATTTTAAAACTGACGTTTTCGCTGGCGTTGCCGTCGTTAATGCTAAAGCTCCCTTATAGCTTTGGAGGGAGGGAGGGCTCCTCCCAAACCGCGCCCCGCCCCTTCAGTAGATTTGACACTCATTGCATCCAAGATGGTCGCCCGTAACGCAAAGCGCTCGATCTCGACGATCTCAAGGAAAAATAGGGGACTGTGAACAGTCTAGGTCGGAGCCGCTTGAAGATTGGGTTCGCCTCCCGCTTCGCGTGACGGTTTCGCCGCCAAGAAAGTACCCTGGGCACAACAATCCCGCCAGCTACACAGGCTACTTCAGTGTAATAAAACAACATTATAACTCAACGGGATGACTTCTCAGTTGACCTTACCTGGTGCTGCTCCAGTTTCTGTAATTGAGAACAAAAAAATAGCCTGGTAAGAAAAACTGCCTCATGTTTTTCCAAGAGATCATAATATCTTGATTTTACCTCATGTGAAACACAACAAACAGATTGTATAAGGAATGTCATTTCATAACTTAAAGTCAGGACCAATTTATCAGCTTTTTATACAATCTCAAAGATGGTCGCCTTTGGCATTGCCCAACGAAATTTTATTTAGCACGCAGAACGAAGCTAAACTGTATAAGCCTGATCTAAAATTAGCCATTTCACGACCTAGGTCATCAATTCCTCCAGCCAATTAGAAGAAACTTCATTTTCTCAACGGACGTCTCATCTGCTTCTCAGAGGTCAACAAATGATTTTCTGAGTTAATTGTTAAAATAAACTTTTCTGAACCGCAACAAAAAGGATATTCGACTTTTAGTCACGAGGTTTGGAACTAAACCAAAACCAGTATCACGGGCGCGTAGAATTAGATGCAAAGTGTACGCCCGAAAAGCCAGAGATTTTGGCTTGTTAACCTTCCTCAGTTCTGAGGGTATTTTTGTTTTATTTTTCTAAAGTGAGTATCTAATAAATTCACACTACGTGACTTACGTTGCGGCTCCTCGATGACGGGTTTGACGGGGCCTTCAATATCATCCACTGAGAATAATAATAATAAAATACAATGTAAACTGACACACTAGGCATGGTAAAAGGTATCGAAGAGGGCCCCCATAACCAGGCTGCAAAACAGCATTATTTTGCAATGGTCGAGAATTTCCCATTCTGGAAACTGTAAGGGGGAAAGGGTACAAGCTTTCGGCGCAACGATTTCTGGGATAGTTTGTGTGGTCAAGCGTTACTTATAATTGTTTAATGGTTGCCTTAGATACCATCGAACCCATCGTACCCAAAGCTTGAACCCATTCTCCCTAGAGTTTCTGAAGTGGAGAATGCGATCACTTATCACACAAAGGGAGTGGAGCGAGGGTTACACGTAGGGTGAGACTACACGTGTGTCAATCGTATGCTTAGCGTGAGAATTTTTCAAAAGCTCTTAGCGCCACGCCCCTTACAAAGAGCGAGAATTTTTAAATCCAACTATTTTGCAGTCTACGATGTAACATTCTTTGGCTACAACAAGCATATTTTCCGAGCCCCTGGACTTCGTTACAACGGGGTTCCGCTCAATTCTTTGTTTGCAAACACGTGAAAAGGCGGCCTTGTTGGTAGTCAGTAGAGTACAATTTTTTTCCGCAGGATTTGGATGAAAAGCACCGGAGAGAAAAGTTCTTGTTCTTGCCCACTAACACGACTGCCTTTACGAAACATGCAAATGTGCACTATGGTGCCTAAAAAATGTAACCACTCTCTGTTGCCAACATAGAACACATATGGGAAGATCGGAGGCAAAAATCTACCGTTAAGTAATTCAGTTCTATATTCAAGATTCGGACAACCATTCTCTTGCCCTGCGAGGCCGTTGTTGGTGTCTCCACGCAACGCTCGATTTTGATAGTGTCTACCAATATTGAAACAACATCAAATTATTTTTGTATCATTACCTGGAAACAAGACCGTCTCCTTCCGCTGACCAGGATCTGCGCCTCCGAGCCATCCACCGCATCTGAATTTGTAATGTTCATCCCGCACGGGAATGTCGATATCTACTTCATCTAGGAACCACGCAGGATCTTGTCCCCTGTTATCATGTCCTATCACAAGCTTCTCAAGCTGAAAATTTAAGCCATAGGAATTTTATCAATCATCAATATTCGTGGTAAAAAAACATTTTAACGATTTTACTCTGCATCACCCTCGATTACAAGTCCCAGTTCTTTGTCGTGAAAACGAATATGGCCGACTACAGCAAAAAGACATAAAGTTCAAAGAGATAAAAATGCTCCTGTGTAATGCTACTTAGACAAAACTGCCAGTACGATAAAAGTTATAGAAATTCTGTAAGCTACCACTTTCGTACCCTGGGTGCCAGAGGCTTTTCATGCGTGGTTTCCGGTATCGGTAAACTGAAGTCTAAAACTAAGTGACCCGCCTCTCTTATCTTCGGCCTTCGGCCGGCGAAGCTCCTGGTCACACGCGAAAAAAAAACTCTGGTACCCAGGATACCACTTTCCTGTTTGCGAACAGGAAAGTGATTCAACCATAAACGTTTGTCCATAAAGTTCTTGGATCAATTTAGGTTTTTCGGAAACTGCCCACCTACCCCTGCCCTAAGCTAACATTAACACTTACTTCTCACTTCGGGCAAAATGATGGCTTAGGGGAGGGGTAGGTGGGCAGTTTCCCAGAAACCTAAATTGATCTAAGTTTTTTAGTGTGACCGTTCAAAAAGAGTTACAACAAAGGAGAGAAATGTGACGTCACACTACCAAGATAGCAAAATTTCTGGATCTCAAAAAATCATTCTTGACAGAGATGGCCATTTGCATTGTCGAACGATGGAAGAAAAGTAAGGGATATTATTTGTTCCTGAGTGCAATCATGTACAGTAAAGTCATGCATGCCCATTTTTTCGTTTTTTTCCTGCCATTTTTGCAGGATTACGGTTTGTTGTGATCCAAAAATTTTGCTACCATGGCCACGTAGCGCCGTAACGACTTCTCATCTCGATTCTGTGGTGTTGTTCCGTCAACACTGTACGAGAGTCTTTCAAAGTTTGTGTTAATTCAGTGGTTAGCATAGGGTAACATCGGCTGAAGCCAGATTGTTTCTTTCAGTTAAATTACCTGAAGAACAATTTAAGTCCAACTTTACTGTGTAATATAAAATAAGATAGATAAACAGAACTGGGATGCTTCGAGCCCGAGTCATTTGCTTCATAACCTACATTCATATCCACTACACCAACAAGGACTAGCTGCCAAATCCAGTAATGTTTGATATACACATACATGAACGCCACGGTATGCCGAATCGCATTAAAATATTTGAAAGCTAACCGTTTTCAGTTCAGTGCTTAACCCTAATCACTGCAGATAAGTATTTAACTCTCCAGAATGTTCTCTTAATAACTGGCGCTTTGTAGTTCTGTTTTTTTTTGTTTTTTTTCCAGCAATTGTACAAGGTTAATGGGGTTCTGATTCAGGATCGTTCCGTTAAGAGAAAAATGCTTTGTGTAAACCTCATAATCTGTGTCAAATCTGGCTTCACCCGATGTTATCTAATGCCAACCTAAATTTGCAAGCAGCGTGTGTTTCAGCTTTGTTACCTTGCCAACATCAGCAGTTTGTATCACAAACTTGTCAGCTCTGCGGCGCTCAAATCGCCTGAAGGTCTGTCTCTCGTCCTGTAGGTCGATTCGTGGCGTTTCACCTTTGTTGCCGCATAACGCGAAATACACGTTGGCGTCTGTTCCAGCGTTCGGTTTATCACCCGTTTTGATGGTCATATGATACGAAATGTCTGCAAAAAGATACAACAATAAGGTTTTATCCGCTCAGACAGAGTTGATGTGGTAATCTGATTTAACTGCTGGTGTTCCGAGTGCAAGTCCTTAGCAGAAGTGAAGACGCTAACGAACGCGCTTTACCCTTCAAAGACAAGCTACCGATGGAGAGGTCTCTTTCATTAACGCAGGACAGTAGCGAGCAAGAGTCATGTTTGACAAAATCACCGTTACAAAACAGAAACATTTTCCAAGAATTAACAACATACTTTTTCCCAAATCGAGAAAAACTTTCACAAAACGTTAATACAATAAATTTTCTCCCAGATCGATACAAACTTGGAAAATATAACAAAACGGGCCGACGTTTACCCTGTCCGACCCAAGCCCCGCCTCCATCCCGCTTTCAAGCATTTTCAGTTCTTTTCCCCTTTCCATTTTGGAGCTGCCTTTCCCAGTTAGATATAAGACCATCTGATGACTATTGTAGTTGTCAGCTGTGGTATTTACCTTCAGGTTCCTCGGGGACTGGTTTACCGGGGATAAGCTCTCTAATAATTGCCGAGTTAGAGTCATCTTTGCCGAGCCAGCAACGACAAGGGAACACGACAGTATCCCCTTCTTTGTTCGTCACCGTTACCTCTTCAACAAACATGGTCCGACCACGCCCATATCCATCGTCGCCGATGCGAAGTTTGGTGATCTATAACACGTGAAGAAAATATCTCGGTTAAGACATATCTCGGTCCAGAAAAATTTTTGAAGGGACGAATTTTTACCTGCGCAGCCTGTTTACACGGAAACGTGCAAATTCTGTTACAGTACCGATTACACTAGTCCGCACAAATTTTTGCCAGTGTCAGCATTGGAATGGTTTTTATTTTAATCAAAGGCGCGTAACTAGGCTTCAGGTTTTCACCGCACAAACTGTGCAAAACCTTTCTTGCTTCAGGTGTTTACACGAGTCCGCGTAAAAACGGAACCATACCGGTCAAAAATATTGACCTCTTCTGATCACGTCAAAATGCCGTTCAAAACCTTGCACGGTTCCGCGGGTCCAGTGTGAACGAAAGACGGATCTGTGCAAGTATTTGTTCGGACCCAAGTAAACGGGGTCTAAGATATTTCATTTCACTGGGACATAACAAGAAGTAGTTTTGGAGGTTAGGGAGATTGAGTGGTGCTTATGGACAGCTTTCTTGGCTGAACTTAGCACAGTGCAACGGCTTGGAAAAATTCAACCCTCCGAAAACTTATCAACTTTAAAAACAACATTGCTCCTGACGTAAGGAAATGATATCTACAGACAAAAAAATTCGGGACGTATAATTAAATTCTGCATTGACTCTCCCCGGTTTGGCTTTCTTACTAATGAATACCATACTTCGGAAAGTTTTTCATGCGGAATCTTTTCATCAGCGATAATGATAATTCCCTCAAAAATAGCTCGGAAAGGTTCATGTGTTTCCCTATACATACCTCCCCAATATCTGGGCTTTTGACAGACATTTTATATGTATTCCCCTTGGTAAACACATGTGACGTGGAGTAACCTTCTCGCAGGCGGATTTTGTCGGTTTCGCCCTGTCGACCAATAATCTGGTAAAACGGGTTTACATCGGGGTCCAGGACTTCGCCAACTTTGAAACTCACTACAACAAACAGAACAAGTAGTTAAGTGGAGCACTAGAACGGTGACGGACTTGATAATTACGAACGATGAGTCCTACAAACTGTCATTGCTACCGTTAAAGGTCATCGCCCTCAATGTGCATGATGCATCGGGTCTACGACAAATTTGAATAACTTGACGGACTTGTTAATTATGAACGACTGTCCTACAAACTGTCATTGTTACCGTTAATGGTCATCGCCCTCAATGTGCATGACGCATCAGGTTTTACGACAAATTTGAATAATTTGATTTCGTAAAGAGAACGCAAACAAACTGTCCTTTAGTGATACAATTACGGTCAACTCTTTCTTAACGGACACCTCTGTAAGACGAACATCTTGCTAAAACAGATAACTAGAGTTGGTACCATGCCTTTCTTTACTCCGTTTAATTGCCTGTCTATAAGATAGACACCTCTCTAATACGGACACACAGTGCTTACCTCAAAGGTATCCGTCCTGGTGCAAGCACATGTGTTAGGTCTTATGAATATGAATATGAATATAAATATGAAGTTATCACGAATACAGTTGAAAGCCTTACCTGTGTACATTCCCTGTTGATCTCGCGGAGAGCCTTGTTCTGTAACAAAACCATAAATGTATTATAATAAACTATTCAGCATATGTGTACTATTTAGCCCTTGGGTTATTTCTGTCAAGTCAAAACTCTCCTTGTAAGGACGTTATTATAAACTTAATAGACTGGTCCAAGGTTGACCAGATGAAAGATAAACCTCGGATATGTATACTATTATGAAAATCCAGCGTCGTGGGGTAGGCTTCCAAGACAAGGAGGTGGAGAGGAGGGGGGGGGGAACTTTTTAACCCTCATCGTAAGCACGCCGCATGCAATTTAGTTGTACTATCTCATTCGGCCGGCTTGATATAACAATATAATGAGAAACTAATAGTTAGAATATCAGTTGCATGTTTGTTTGCATGGTTTTTCTACCATATTATAAAGAAACACCTTCAAAGTTGACTGTTTATGTTCAATCATAGAATCCTAAACGCCATCCTCAAGAAAGAATTTAGATGCCCCAACCCTTCCCCCCTGTTTGATGAAACAACTCTTAAAAATCTCGACCCTGCAAGAATACACATAGCCTGAAATATAAGCTGAGGCGGATCCAGGAATTTTAGTTAAGGGGGGTCCAACTTGTGCACACCGTTAGAGCAAATGATTTTACCCTTCCTCACCGTTACATTAGTTTATACCCGAGGGTGGGAGGGGTAGGGTTCACTCCTCTATTTGGCCTAGGTGGGTATGTGCCGCTAAACAGGGTATGGTTTTCAGGGTCTTGAGTCCTAATAATGGTAATAGGACTCAGTGGAGTCCAATTGGTGAGTGAGTCATACGAGTGATAAACGAAATCGGACGACCGCGTAGCGCAGTTGTTATCAATTAATCATAACTATAACAAAATTTGTGATTTTTTAAGCTTTTTTAATTCAAAACACAGGTAATTTTGCTAGTAGTGAGAAAAGAAAAAGCCTTTTAAGTGAGCGCGCGTGATGGCGCATACTGTCCAATTACTTAGGCATGACGCGTACTGTCCTGTTACATTGTCCTTTTAGTGCTGAAATCAGGACAGCTGATAGCCAATCAGATTTGAGAATTTTATCATAGTTATGATTAAGCAGGGTATAGAAATTCACTATTTCGCTTCTTGAACAAGGTGTCTCTATCAGTCGACCGGAAGCCTCTAAAAGCAGCCTCCTCCTTAGGCGCTTCGTTTTTCGCTTGGTTTCGCATCGAGGCGAGCGAAAACGCGAGCGACTGGTGACGAAGCGCAAGGAACCATGGGAAGGGTGAAGAAGGGAGGCGATTTGTATGCAAAACGAAACGAATCAGGATCATAAAATAATTGGTCTCGAAATTTTTGTCTTAATTAGGATCAGGGTTTGAAGGTCTCGGTGGCACACCTCCACCCAAACTTCCCTTGAGTACCCCCTCCCCGCGGGGGAATTCTTTTTACTACACCCATGCTCCAAGGATACGCGCAGTACATGTGATGTTTTAATCATAAAGAACACAGATGAGAAACATTTGTCTCTTGTGTTAAGTGATAAAATAATTTTGTCTGCGCTGACGGGTATATTGACGGGATCCCGACTCCTTCGACCCTAACTCACGATCCGCCATTGAAAAAGTTTGTTTACCTGGAGTAAAATCCACCGCGTTATCCGAGCTTCCAATCCAGCGGTTGCAGTAGAAGACATAGTGTTCATCTTTTTCGTCGACATCAATAGTGATTCTGTCGAGCAGCCAGCCGGGCTTAACACCCTTGTTGTCGCGGCTGATACGAACAGAATTGAGCTAGATATGGAACGAGAGAACAGACGTCAACCCTGTTCCTCCTTAGTCAATTACGAACACACTTGGCAAAATGTAAGTAGTTCTAACTTTTGAGTCTGTGGATGAAATCCTATGGTGTGACCATTCAAATGAAACCTCTTCAGCAGCACTTTCATATAGTACTATTTATTTAGCATGTAGTTCTAACTTTTTAAGTCTTTAGACGAATCCTAACTGTGACGGTTCAAACGAAACCTCTTAAGGACAGAGTAGAGTCTCGTGATATCATTTTGTTATTTGATATTCAACAAAACAATGCGTCGGTTCTTTCTTTCTTGATAATTTTCTGCATTCTTGGAAGTTAAAGGACTGGGTTAATTTAAATGCAACAAAGCACGAAATATCATATGAAAAAGTGGAGTAAACACCAGGGTGTACTACAATCCTTGCTTTACCTATAAAAACAGCACGGTTAATTCAAGTTACTGAAGACGAACTTTTACAGATCATCCACCGCATCCCGCGAGTAAAGCCTCCTTTTGTCTTCTTGAGAGAGAAGGAAAAAGAAGGCTCTGCCTGATCAAGCCTTTGAAAGCGGCCGTAGACCGAACTTCTGCACAAGTCTATCTTGTTCTCTATCGTATCTTTTTTCGAGTGCCATAACTAAGCCCGCTGTACCAAGGGCACGGCTTTTAGGCCTGGGTTCAAAACTGTATCCCAGCAACACGCAGCACATAATAGTGAACTAACGCAACAGGATGGGAGAGGAAAGACAATAATTTTGTTTGAACAAACATTCCGCCAAACTTCACATTCCTTTAGACAGATCTTTTTGTAGAAGGGCAAAAAACATCAATGTTAAGTGAATTCCCGACAAAACACACAAGAAATAGCCCCGTCACGTTTGTCACCCCCAAGCGTTTTGCCGTCCTCTTCTTTCTGCCGTCCTGTTGCGTAAACTCACTATTATCTTCCTCGAATACGCCAACAACGAGCTCTAGTGGCAGGGTGAGTTCACTGTTGAGGCCATTTATGGTGGCATTGAACAGAAGGAATAGGCGTGCAGGCTACCAGCTAGCAAACGGTATAAGAGACTACTATAAACATTACCTTTCCAACATCTAGTGTTCGGATCAGAAACTTGTCCACTCGACCACTCTCGAATCTTCTTTTGTCTCCTTCCTCTCTAAGAGAGAAGTTCTGCGTCTTTCCATTTTCACCAAACATTTGTAGATACACATTAGCGTCTGTGCCGGCATTAGTCTCCTCGCCTGTCTTCACTGTGATACGATAGTCGACTTCTGCTAAATAAACAGTCAATAGTCAACTTAAGGTCTCGGTAAAGGAAAACGAGGTGCCCACAGAAAAAAATTCTAGTCGCGCGAGTATTTTCGCTACAAAGGCAAGTTATACATCAAATTAAAGCTAAAAGACTAAATTACCTTATAAAAGATTTTATTTCATCGAATTTCAAAAGGCGCTTAAGTTTTTTGCTCTCGAACTCTGAGATATCGAGTTTACTGCTGAAGCTCCAGCCCTTTCGCGTTGTTAAATATTCACTTCCTTTTCATTACATCTGATTGACAGATAAAAGACCTAAAAAAGGGTGTGAGGAATTTTCTGATTTCCCTTTGTAACTCATTTTATGTCAGTTTCTTTGCGTAAATCGCGCTCGAGATTCGACTTTTTAGTTTGAAATGCAATAATTCCTCTAATACGAGACATATGCAAATTTCCTCTGAGTTCGAGAGCAAAAAACTTAAGCGCTTTTTGAAATTCGATGAAGTAAAATAATCTTTTATGAGGTAATTTAGTCTTTTAGCTTTAATTTGATATATAACTTGCCTTTGTAGCGAAAATACTCGCGCGACTAGAATTTTTTTCTGTGGGCACCTCGTTTTCCTTTACCGAGACCTTAACAGACACTTCCCTAGAACGGAGACTTGGCGATGGTCCCTGCCTTTCGTTTTTTTGGCGGGACTGTCCATCACGCTAACACTTCTTTAATCTACACGTAAGCACATACCTTCGGCCTAAACCAGACGATGTCCCTTCTCGAAAGATTTGGTTGTTTGTGCAAAATGGACCCTCCCATTGGTTCATTGAGGTTTTTTTGTTTAACCAATCTACTTATGCGTAAAACCCGCGAAAGATTCCTGAAAAGCACACCTCAAAAACGTCACGCCAAACAAGGCTTTCTTTCTTCATCAAACAAAATTCTTCGATTGTCTTTTTATGGCATAAAAAAACACTTTGTTCTAACCTTCCATTGGTGATGTGATGATGATGATGACTACGACGGCGGCGACGACGACGACGACGACGACGACGATGATAATGATAATAATATTAATAATAATACATGTGACAAGTCATCCTTACCTTGCGATAAATCCTTTGTTTCAGCTAAAAACACCAAGGAAAAATAAAAGAACGTAAATATCGAAATAATAAATTTAAAAAAAAAAACTTGTCTTGTCCTGTTCTAAAACTTGAACAAGGACATTCAATTTAATACTAGCCCGTCGATTTAAGGTGTTTCGATACAGTTTTTCAAAGGCCATACCGATATTTTTCAATCGCCTTAAAAGTAGTTTTTTCCTTGTCCGATCGCTATAAAATTTTCACCAGTAATTGGCTATGGATTGAAATTTGTGAAAATGTAGTTTTAAGTAAAATCGATATTACCATGACAACAGTAAACAAAAAACTTTGAAATTGATAAAAGCCGAATTTTGTGTGATCTAGACCTGCTACTGAAAATCCAACACTAGGAACTTAAAGTTTGGTGTTTAGCAAACAATCTCCGTAAGAGGTAAAAAATTCTGTATGTTTGAATTCGAATAAAACGAAAATATATTTCAAACCTTAAATTTTCAATAGCCGTGATAGGTTATGTAATAAAAACGTTATAAATGACTCAAATTATTCTTAAGTAGCGTAAGAATGATGCTTAATATCATGTTTTGATGCTAGGAAATTTTGGTGTACTTTCGTTCATGCGATATTGAAATCTAACCTGTTTTCTCACCATCTGTATAAGTGCAACTTCATTCAGAATTTGGACTTTTAGCGCTTTCTTGTATATCTCCGAAACGACTCGAACGAATTTTTTCAAAATCTCTTCACATAATCTTCATAATGTATATAAAAATGTCCGAAACTTTCATTAAGATTGATTCACTGTAACACCTTGAAATTTCAAGACAAACCTATCCGACGAACCGGTCAAAAATCTGCGCTCCAACATTCACTGTTTTGACGTTATGGTAATTTTTCCAAATTAATGCGGACAATACATATATCCATGACTAGTACATTTCAGTGTGAGTATTGCCAATATTTTACATTCAAAAGATGCGATAAATTCAAACTAAGATGTACTAGTCATGGAGGTATGTATAGTGCGCATTATTCTGGAAAAATTAGCATAACGTCAAAACAGTGAATGTTGTAACGCAGATTTTTGACCGGTTGGTAGGACAGGTTTGTCTTGAAATTTCAAGGTGTTGCAGTGAATCAATCTTAATGAGACTTTCGGACATCTTTATATACATTATGAAGATTATGTGAATAGATTTGAAAAAAATTCGTTCGAGTCGTTTCGGAGATATACAAGAAAGCGCTAAAAGTCCAAATTCTGAATGAAGTTGCACTTATACAGATGGTGAGAAAATGGGTTAGTTTTCAAGATCGCATGAACGAAAGTACACCAAAATTTCCTAGTATCAAAACATGATATTAAGCATCATTCGTACGCTACGTAAGAATAATTTGAGTCATTTATAACGTTTTTATTACATAACCTATCACGGCTATTGAAAATTTAAGGTTTGAAATATATTTTCGTTTTATTCGAATTCAAACATACAGAATTTTTTACTTCTTACGGAGATTGTTTGCTAAACACCAAACTTTAAGTTCCTAGTGTTGGACTTTCAGCAGCAGGTCTAGATCACACAAAATTCGGCTTTTATCAATTTCAAAGTTTTTTGTTTACTGTTGTCATAGTAATATCGATTTTACTTAAAACTACATTTTCACAAATTTCAATCCATAGCCAATTACTGGTGAAAATTTTATAGCGATCGGACAAGGTAAAAACTACTTTTAAGGCGATTGAAAAATATCGGTATGGCCTCTGAAAAACTGTATCGAAACACCTTAACGTAATATCAGTATTCTAGAATGACTAAGTCGTCAATGATTTTGCCCTGACTTAAAAAGGGGTGTAAGCTCGAAAGGTTAAAAGTTCCGACAAATGCTCGCATAGTTGTTTGCTGAAAGTTTAAATTCACGTTATAACCTATGCGCTCAAGAGCTTCACTTATGTCCAGGTTTGCACGCAGCTACAAAAATTGCGATTTATCATGTGTTTGCGAAAAATCTCAAAAATTGCAATGTTGGCGATTTTTTGAAAGCCAGTTGCGAAAATTGCGATCATCCAGAAATGTTGCTACCATGGTAACGTGACACTTCTATCTAAAAACCAAATATGTATAAAACCTACCAGGAAGTAACACCACGTCACGCTGACTGCCGACGAGCCAGCGATGACAGGGGAAGATGTACTGTTCTCCTTTATCTGGTACATCAATAGTAACTTCCTCTAGGTACCAGTCCGGATCCCGACCAGAATTATCATGGCGGATATGAAGCTTCTCAATCTGGAATCACGTAAATTAAATCACTTTTACTAAAGCCAAACCTATTTTTCCGAAACTATTCAGTGTATTGGCGTCCGACTGCAAGACAGCTACGCCCTTTTAATATTCAGAGAAGTTACTTTAATAACTAGAAAATGTAAACTAAGATTCACCTATGTATTTAGTATTTTACCTTTCCAACATCCCTTGTGTCCACTTTGAACTTATCACTGTTTCCTCTGTCAAAAAGACGTAGACTTCGGTCTTCACTGAGTAAGATAGGCTCTGTTTTACCTTGGTCGCCCAGGAGTTCAAACTGAACTTTAGCTGTTGTGCCAGCGTGTGGTCTGTCACCAGTTTTGAAAGTCACTTGGTATGTTGTATCTGCACGACAAACAAAATAGGTCAGCGTCCAGATGCGCATACAGCCATTTTTACCAGCCTGCTACAACTAGGGCTTTAAAACGAGTTTTGTGTGCATCGACTTACGAAAACGTTTCGACAAGCGTTAACCCGTATAGCACAAACGACGAAACTGCAGCGAGGATAGCGAGGCTAGTTTTACGAAGGGATGTTCAGTCACACGGAGACGCCTCTCTCAGTCTCGCACTGGGGAACGAGTCGGAGAGAACCTTGGAAACGAGGTTGGGTCTGTGCCCAGTAAAGTTGCTAGAACAAAACTGTCAGTGCGTTAAGTAAACATACTTATCAAAATGCTCATAGCCGCTTTTTAACACACTTACCAAGAGGCACCTCCTCAGTCTGCTGTACGTGTTCCACAGTGATTTTATCGTCTTCACCAGTCCAACAGTGACATGGAAATGTGACCTCGTCCCCGCGCGAGGCTGTGACCACCACTTCCTCAACGTAGAGTCCCTTGCTGGGGGCATCAGACAGGTCCTGACCCACCTTAACATCTACAACCTGTACACCAACGGAAGGGAAGGGTTGTTATTTAAGTGTGTCCTGGCAGGAGCGCGCGGAATGGACTTTGTAAGGAACAATATTGCAATGCGCAATCAAAGACAAGGACGGTTAAAGGTTTAGAAGGCAATTCTCCTGCAACACTGTGTCACCAAGATTATGACGATTTGGGATCCGCATCCGAATGCAGATTTCAAGCTTGAAAAAATTTAACCTTGGAAATACCCCCTTTGCCCTCTCCTCCCCTTCCCCCACAGTACCTACCCTTCCGATATCGTTGACCCTGGCTACCACTTTGTACATTCGACCGTTCTCGAATTTGTCCTTGGGTCCATACCCGGGCTTGATCTGAATCTGTCCACTTTCTCCCTTCTCGCCAACAAGCTGGATCCAAACTGGAGCGTAAGGATCTGCGACTTCACCCAGTTTGAGATGAACTACAAAATAACGAACGGTTTGTTTTGTTTTCAGTTTAGTGGCTGCACGTTAGTCAGTTAATAGCCTTCGTTGCTGGCGGGATCCTTGTGCCTGGGGTATTTTATGGCGGCGGAGCCGACACATGAAGCGAGCGTCGAAGCCGAGGGTTTCGCTTTTCCCGCCAGCTACGCAGGCTAGTCGGGTCCGTAACACACGTGATCAACGATCGGTTTTCATCGGTTCTTTTTCTTAAAAAAAAAAAAAAAACCCTCCTCGCGCAGTGTTTACCACCTTGGTAATAACTACAGTATAATTATACTATCGCCTTATGCTTGTTTACGATCTCGCGAAAAGTGGTAACAAGCAAAAAGTAGTGCCTCGCCTAAGGAGGAAATGAAAGCACACATCATCCTTACAAACCGCCGTTTAAGTGGCAAAACAGCAATTACACAAGTTTTTGTTTGGAGCAGAGTTAACCAACTATTACAACTATACAGCTGTACTTTGACAATATGAACAAGAAAACTGAAAATGAAATGAAACACAAACTTACTTGTGTACAATTCTGTTCGAAGCGCTTCATCGACTACAAATATAAACAAAATAAAACTATCAGCATTTTATCACCTACGTCGTAGCTTACCGCCTGCTAAACTGACAAAAACAAGGAAAAATACGAAATCTACAAATCTTACATCCAATTTTTTTTCTGATAAAAAAATATATATATAAATACATCAATAATAATAGAGGCACTATAACGGAGGTTTTTTTCTTTCCCAAAAAGCATTAAGGGTCAAGGGTATAAGCAACAGAAAGATAAGAAAAAACCACAAATGTTACGAAAAAGTCTTTATCGTGTTAGAACTACTTGTAAGCAGTCAGGCAAACAAGTGATTGGAGTCCTGATTCACGAGACTAATAACCAAGTGAGGCCCGCTAAAAACCCATTTTCGTATTCTAAAAAAAATTGCAAGGAAGTAGGTTAGATTCAAGGCTCGACTGTAAGCTACAATAGTTTCACTACCCCAACGAAAAAACAAAGGCATTCGCCACTTTAGAAAGGGAACTGGAGCCGAAATGTGTGCCGCAATTGTTTCTGGGATCGCTACTAGGGACACGCTGATCACCTATTGGCCATTTCTTTTACCTGTCCCTAGTTACTGTCCCAGAACACTTTGCGAAAGTTAACTCGCCCCAGTTTCCCTCTCGTTTCTAGTGTGATGGATCAGGGATTGTAGGGTGATGGTAATGAGTAATCTTTAAAGATGTTTACCTGGATCCAAGTCGACTCTTTCCCCAGCTATCCAGTTATTGTACTCAAAAACATAAATTTCATCCCTTGAGGGAACTTCGATACTCAGCTTCTTCAAGTACCATTCTGGATTGCGGCCAGTGTTATCGTGTCCAACACGGATCTTCTTCAGCTAACGTATGAGAACGTTAAAACTTTAGCGACGGACCATTAGTGAAAGAAAAATATTCGTGCAAGGGAAAATCTTATGAAAAGAAAAATTCATGCAAGGTCTAGCCTGCGAGCAAGCTCTACATTTTACATGGTAAGCGAAGCGAGCCGCGAGAGAATGCGCGAGCCAGCGGAGAAGCAGAGAGGAGCGTGCTACTCTCGCGACTCCCCAAAATGGAGAGCTTGCTCGCAGGCTAACAGAAGTGTGTTAACACTTAACAATTAAGAATCTCATCATTAACTTACCTGTCCTACGTCCGCAGTTTCCACCGCAAATTTGTCAATTCTTCCTCTTTTAAACTTGGGCGCCTCTAGTTTGTTTTCGCTTCTAAACTCGATCTTTTCAGTTTGTCCCTTTTCTCCAAACAGCTGTACATAAACAGTGGCATCGGTGCCAGCGAAGGGTACATCCTCTGTTTCAAAAGTCATGTTGTACAATGTGCCTGAACATAATAACAATTAAGAACTATTGAAACACAAGCTGCTTTCACTGCATTTAGATACTATACAGCTTCCATACACACAATAAATAATTACGTCCAAAGAGCAACTTCAAATCAGAGAATGGATTCTCTTCAAAGACAAAAAACTGGAGTTTTCTTTCAAGCAGCGAATTAACGTGGAATGCGCTGAAATTCTGCACTGTTTCAATCCATGTCCATCTTTGCCATCAAATGCAACAGTGAGTTTCAATGACTAAATGTAAAAAGGTCTTAAATAACAAAACTGGACCATTATTTTTGGAATTCAATTCATATGACGCGAAAAACGTTTTACCTTGTCACACAGCCCACTTAACAAACGTGCTAAAACGCGGTTTACGATGGAGTTTCTTTCCCCAGTATATTCGACTGAGCCTATAATACCATAGACGTGACTTGACCGTTACAGATAACTGAAGTATCTCAAAGGTTTGGCTTACTGTCTAATTGTGGCTGAATCGTTTCACCAGGCACCAGAATTCTAGCTGTTTTGCCGTCTCCTTCATCTTCAGCTAGCCAGCAGCGGCACGGAAAAATCACCGGATCCTCGTCTGCACAATGTACCTCAATTTCTTCCACAAATATTCCACAACCACGCCCTTGACTGTCATTTCCTAGATAGACTTTGTTGATCTGCGGAAAGAGTAATATGAACGTAACACAGTGAATGGTTTGAACCAAAAGAGTACTTTCTCGTTTGCACTAAGGGAATATTACACTCTGTTGTTTGAACCCAGGAGTCATGTCATAAGTAAGAGGAATATGATCGACGACCGGAACGTGTAGTCCTTGTTTAAAATGGCTGATGTCCCGACAACAAGTGCGCTAGTCATCTTCAGAGTAAAAAAGGGAAACAATTTCTGCAATATCTGTGAAACACGGCGGTTACTATCGCAAGATAATGGATTATTTTCGAATCCCAATAAAACACCCTGATTGCACCCCACCCGCCGAAATTTGAGCAAGGTATTGCTTTCCAATTTTCGCGACTAGCTTAAGCTAATTACGGGCATAAAGCAATATCTTGTATAAGTTGAAAACAAAGTTGTGGTCTTGGGAAAATACGGTTCTCCCAGGAACATTTAAAAACAATAGTTTATGCAAAATTAGGGGGGAGAACAGAATGTATCATGGGGGATTAGAAAATAAAGAGTCGGTTAAGGTCCAGTTTATCGTAGAAGCGCACTAAGCTCTGGTTATTAGAGTAAGAAACCTTCTTTTTGTGGTCCATTCTGATATATTTACGGAAACGACAGAAAAAGCTTTTTTTACGGCTTCTTCAGTGGTCCCCCTTGGAGCTTCTCACATTTGAGACCCTTGTTCGGCATAAAACCTATAACCGTACCTTTCCAATGTCTTTGATGTTGACAGACACCCTGTACTGTTTTCCAGGCTCAAATGTAGTGCCATCTGAAGGAGTGAGGTATATTTTGCCAGATTCGCCCCTGTCACCGTACAGTATCATATACAGCTTAGCCTGCGGGTCCAACACCTCTCCTAGACGAAACAGAACTAAAAAAACAAGAACCTTTAGTCGTATTTGGTGTCTAAGAAGAGAGCGGTTTGATAGACAGTCCGAAAAGTGAGGGTAGGTAAGTGGTTTATGAGAATCGCAACTCGTTAATTCACATATGGGGGAAATGTTTAGGCTTGAGTGGATCCCTTTTGAATATCAATAGAGTAGAAGAAAGTGGAAGGGGGTGGGGTGGTTGGGGGTGGAGCAGCACTCGCACCTCAACAATGTGGCCCGCCACATTGCAAACATTACGCATGCGCTACCCCTTTCAGTCTACCAACAGACCGATTTCACACCGAAACGTGTGGTCGTTTCGCCTTCACATGATACCGTTGCGAGACTTCATACCGGAGTGAAATTCTCGCCCCGGTACAACAACCGGGGTGAACTCACGCCGGGGTGACTCGCACCGGCATGACATTTTGAGGTGGTATCATGTAGACAAATGTAGAGCCACGGGACGGAACCAGATCTTTGGCCTAAAAGAAGAAGAAGAAGATTTACTCACTGTCATAAGGAGGACTAACAGTCTCCCCAGGCTGCAAAACACGTGCAGATTTGCCATCGCCTTCATCTTCAGCCAACCAGCAACGGCAAGGAAAAACAACAGCTTCCTCACTCGGAGCTGCTACCTCGATTTCTTCTACAAAAACACCATGGCCGGGTCCTCGGCTGTCATTTCCAATGCTGATTTTCTCCACCTGAAACAAGCGACAAAATTCTCAACAGTCAACGAGGCGTTACGTCTTTTCTTTTGATAATAGATAGATTGTTTTCATATAACGCGGAGAAAACGCGGCGTTAAGCCACTTCGTTAAAAAAGTATTTTGACACTTTTAAAAGTAATTTAGGGAAGGTTAAAGCCAAGTCAATGAGGCAGTCTCAGCAATCTGATGCGGGGAGCGCGAGGTAGGTTTGCAGGGGCATCGCCATGGGTTCCCGCTCAATTCCTTGCTTTGTGTCCATACCTCCCTCCCACTTTTTGAGTAAGTATTCATTCCACACTAGTTTGTCGGTGTTGTATTGGTAGGACGGGCCTGATTGGGCTGCGGCTCGGTTGCCATGGAGATCTCCTTGCAGCTAAGGAGATTGCTGCCCTCCTCTGTCGCTACCTTCACAGCACCTACCCTCTGACACTACACACTAAGTGTTTTAAAGGATAAATAATTGATAGATGGTGGAAAATTTACTGCATAATCAGTGTCTTTGAATCTGTTTGCATACTGAAAATCTTCCGGCCAAAGTAATCCAGAATCCTAGGATCTACGTGAAAGTTCTTCGTGAGACCGTTCAATACGCTTGGCTGAAGAAAAAAAACCGCTCGTTTATGAAACCTTTCACACTTGAGAAGGGTTCAATTATGCCGAAATGTGACGCAGTTCTAACTTTATGACAGGCGGACGAACAAGTCTATGGAGTGACCATCGAGTCTGCGGACCAAATCCTATGGCATATCGACCATTCATTCTTGAATTCGACCTTTCTCACTTTCGAGAGTCAAAGATTTAAAAAACGACATGAATGAAAAATACTAACAACCTACCGGTCCGATGTCCTTGATATTTGCGGACACAGTATACAGTCTTCCAGGTTCAAACTTTTTACCGTCAGATGGAGCGAGGTGTATTTTCCCAGATTCGCCTTTCTTACCATAAAGAATCATGTACAACTTAGCCCACGGGTCGTGTACCTCCCCAAGACGGAACGCGACTGTTGAACAAGCACAACAAAAGATTCCACTTTAAAGAAATTCCCAAGCAACAACGCCCTTGGATAGTTAAAGATTTGGGAGCCCCGGAGATATAGACCATTTCAGATGCGGCTTCATCTAAGAAGGTATTACTTAAAAGTATGTTTGCTTCTTTTCACTGTCACTTTTTGTTTGACATCACAGTCATTCTAATCTGTACGCCTGAGAAAGACTGACCAGCCACTGGTTTAGAGAACATCACAGAATGTTATTTTCTAGCATACCCAGTAAATGTCGAAATTAAAGCTCCCTGAGCCAGCATGCCAAAACAACAACGAAAAAACCCACATCGGGTTTCAAGGAACAGGAGGAAATTTAGAAAACAAGCAAATAAAAAACAACAACAACACAAACCAATGGGAAAATAGCAAACAACCAAAACAAGTAAAAATATTTCTTATCCCTGGGAGAATTTCATGCTCAGAAAAGATGAGCCAAAATTTAAAAAAAAAAGATGGAAAAAAAAACTTAAAAATTGCACATGCACTCACTGTCGTAAGGGTGAGTAAGCGACTCTCCAGGCACGATGACCCGAGAGGTTTTGCCATCATCTTCGTTTTCTGCGAGCCAGCAGCGGCAAGGGAATATAACTTTGGGAGCGTCAGGAGCAGTCACTTCGATTTCTTCAACAAAAACGCCTTTGTTGCGTCCTTTGCTATCATGTCCAATATGAACCTTTTGTATCTGTTAAAGTAATTATTAGAGGAAGCTGAGTATGATATGAAGAATTGTGCGGTTCTGGAAGGGTGTTGTATTAAATTCTGGAAGGTATTCTTCATATAGCAGTTGTCATCCGACAAGTGGTATTTCAGTCTATTTTTGCTATGTTTAGCCAGTAGTTCGCCAGTTCGTGTCGAGGTCTGCAATCTTCCGCCATTTTCTCCAGCTCTACACTGCCATAACAGCTGGGCCACCCCGCCGTACGTCTTGACGTCAATCGTATTGATATCAGCAAACACGCATAGGCTAGCTATGAGCAATAAGCCGGGGGATTTCGGCGAATAAGAAACGAAGAAACATTTTCAATCAGTCATAATATTACATATGCCATCTTATTTCCAAAACAGCGTGAGTTCACATGGGCTTATTCGAGGCCCGTGACATTAAAACACAGAGTGATTTTTCAGGAAATTAACTATTAGGTATTCTTTGTTTGGTCTTTTCAATTAGGGTTGCATTAACCTGTTCCAGGCTCTAATATACTTGTAGTATGGACAGCGAACGTGATGAAGGCGCTCTCTTTTCCTAGAACACTCGCGTCTTATTCCGCCTGACTTTGCTTCGCTACGTCCCTACCTCCTGAAGGCCTAGAACAGGCTAGGACTGCATCAAAAGTACACGACTTACATTTCCAATGTCCTTGATGTTTACAGAAACTTTGTAGAACTTATCAGGTTCAAACTTTGATCCATCTGGTAACAGATAAATCCTGCCTGACTCTCCTTTATCACCGTACAGCATCATGTACAGCTTGGTATTGGGGTCCAACACTTCTCCAAGACGAAAACCAACTGCGATTTAGACAAGAAGACACATTAATATGTCTCTTTTGCAATGCTGCAAGTGTCCAGAGCATAGGTGCAAATTAAACCAAGAAATCAGTTACTTGCGTCAGCCAATTGATGTATGGAAGCGTTTGTAATATGCACAAATTAAGAAAGTCTGATCCAAGCTAAGCAAAATGACCAATTCACAAAGAGGTTATATATATTGTATCTGTCCACATGTAAAATTCTCCACTGAGTTGATTGCCAATTTAATATAAAAACACCATTTTCAACGCGTTCACAAACCTTTTGCAACTGTAAATGTCTCTTTCAGATGACTTTGACAGCGTGTTATCAAATAAGCGAACTTTACCTACACATTGTACTGCTTATCATAGCCTTTGGCCATTGCTGCGTTGTCGTTGTCTCGAATTGCACTATGGGACTACTAGGGGAACGAATTTGAACCCAAATTTGTACGAAACCTTGCAAAACCCCTAAAAAAGAAGCTGGAGCCCCCCAAAACAGTCCCATGGTGCATTTAGTCAGTCCAGTCTCATGCGTAACCATTTCAAAAGGCTTACAGTCGAGGATAATTTCATTCATATAAACTATTTCTTTGAGTGACTCTAAGTGAGCAATAGCCTCCCACGCAGATATTCTTTTGGCTCGTCACGCAATCCTCCCCAAGAAACGCGTAACGAACCCCTAGGAACGTTTAAGTGGGATCCGGAGGCTACGTGAGCAACGGCGCTTTCACAGATCAGTTAATTTTAAGCATCATTTTGTGGTATTTTTCCAGAGAAAATGGAAGTGAATGCTATCAAAATATCACAATTACTATCTTCTAGTGTCCTTTTTTTTACTGGGTCATTTGTAAAACTTACTTGATGGTCAAAATTCGCGGGAAAATCGCTCTAAAAATTAACTAGTCTGTGAAAACGTCGCTGCATGAGCACAAGGGGGCTGCTCGCTGCGCCCGGGTTATGCCAGGGCCCCTGAAGTGAGTTAATAGAGGATGAGATTTAACTTCAACTATTTTCATTGTACTTTTTTCACGAAGAAAGTTAGCACGGATATTTTATTGACGCAGGTTATTCCCTCTCCCGATCGCAAAATGATAAAACTGCTAACATTTGAGAACTTGCTCCCGTCACTAAGACATTGCTAAAACTCGCAGTAGAATGACGCTGACTATCGCGTTTTCCCGCCAAAATGACGCTGGTTCACACACGCGCGCACCACTTAGTATTGGAAAAATCTCGTTCTCGTCTTATAATCTAAAAGTCTCTAATAGTCGATGCCAGCGCAAATTTCCTCTCTGATAACAAACTAGATCACAACACCAGTTAAGTAGAATAAACTCTTACTGTCATATCGTGAGGTTAGTGATTCTCCTGGAACCAACACACGTGTAGTTTGACCATCATCTTCATCTTCTGCAAGCCAGCATCGACAGGGGAACACCACCGGGGATCCCCTGGGGGCTGTGACTTCTACCTCCTCCACGAACACTCCGTGGTTTGGAGACAGTCCGTCCTGTCCCAAGCTGATATTGCGAACCTGTAAAAATAAATGGAATAGAGTTGACACTTAGTTGAGTTGACATATTTTTAAAAGCTTGAATGATCATTCAATCACACCTGTACCACGTGTTACCAGAAACTCATAAGGGGTTGAAACGTGTTACTCTCATATGTTTGCTTTCTCCGATGCTCGTGATTATTCATTTTGGAAAGTACCATATTTGGAACGATGAGAAGAGATAACTGACCAATCAAACTTCGTAAACGACGTAAGGTAATTTTACTTCACGTTACCGCACCCGCTTAAAAAAATGGCCGACACACGGGGGAAAAATTCCTGTGACGCGAAAGCCGAGTGAATAAATGAAATCTCGTGGATAAGAAGGCAACAGATGTGTCCTCTTGACAATATGATGTTTACATGTTAACATTAAGGTCGGACGTCAGCATACAAGGGCGCTTCTGGCAGCCGCTATCATGCCCATTTATGAGCTCGCTATAACCCATGCACCCAGCCCATGATATGAATGATGTGTGCAAGGTCAAGCACACCATAGGGGAAACTTCCTCTACTCTTTTCGAAGAGTAGTGTGGGTTCTTTTACATCCCCTTCGATTTTGCCAATGAAAGAAGAGTGAAGGAAACGAGGCCAATGGCTTAACCTCACCACCCAATGCCGTTATAATCCTAACAGACAATCCAGCATGATCTTACCAGTTATTTAAAGACCCCAGTTGTTGGTCCGGCCGGGGTTTGAACCGGCGTCATCCCGCTCGGCAGACCGGCGTTCTCCCAACCGAGCTAATCGGGCGGTGGATAATACTATACTCGGTGACAATTATCATATACAACCTGAGCAGGGCTGTCATTAAGGCTTTCTCTCAAGGAAAGTGGTCGCTCATTTATTCGACAAATCCTCCTATCTTTATGTTTGAATCATTTTCAAACTTGGAGTAGCCAGCTGATTTTACTGCAGTAGCTGGCTACTAATGACAGTCCTGACCTGGGTTGCCTGGGTCAAATACTTACATTTCCTACATCTGTAGTCTGTACAGTAACAGTATACATCTTCCCAGGTTCTAGTTTTCCTCCTTTTGGCGCGAGATAAATCTTGTCAGTATCGCCCTTGTCGCCATGTATCACCATATACAGCTTGGTGTATGGATCCAGTACTTCTCCCAGTCTAAAAGACACTAACAATGGACAGAACATGTTGATATAAAGGCACTAGATCTTGCTATAGGTGTTCTCTCTAATAACGAGCTCCAAACTTTAAATTCGGCAAAGAAAATGACTTTCAAAGTGTTTAACCAAAAAAAAGGTCGCTTCAGTAGAGAATTATATGTCACACTTTAATACCAGGCGAGGTGCGTTTGAAAAAGGCGGTTCCGAAGCTATGCAAGGTTTGTTTACAATGAAGTAACTAGGAATACGGCAGTGTTTGTAAATATTTCATTTTTGCCCTTCCTCTTCAGCAGAAACCTGTTTTGATCTATTGAGGGCTCTCTGGGAAGAGGAGAAGCGCGCAAAAAGAGATAAAAAGATTTTCGCACTTTCCATCCACCTTTGCGGACGTGTGAGCTTTACTCTAAAAGGGACTTATTTAGAAATATTTTAAACCTTTTATTCTAAGAGTGAACGAAATCCTATGGTGTGACTATTTAAATCAAACCACTTGTGTAGTACTCTCACTTGGTTCTAGTAAATATTTCGCTGAATTTTGACTTAGGCCACTTGTGTCTGTACGTTCAACGACCGCCTTCAGTATTAGGGTTCATTGATACTTATGTCAAGGTCTGTGTATGCAAAGTGTGTGTGTAAGGGAAGGTCTATATCACTTGCATAGCACAACGACTAATGAATACCTTGATATTCAGCCATTTCTGGTTCAGGCTCAGGCTCTGGCTCTGGAGGCGCTAAAATGTAACAAATGAAGATATGAGCAAAACGTCACGCTGATTTGCTTGGTAAAATGTACACCAACAACTTTAAAAGAAGATATCGTCTTAACAGGTCAGTTTCAAATTATCAAAAAAATTCATACTTAGCTCCTTGGCTGAGTGTAATAAAGCAAGAGAAACGAATGATTAATCCGTGAAGCTCAATGCGATCTCTTTTGTTTTATTCCCCTTAAGCTCTCCCGTTCACACAATACCGAGCCGGATAGCTTTATCGCCGGCACGAAAACCATACCGGATATAGAGTGTTTTCACATGACGTTACCGCGGCCATATTGGTGTCCCAAAACAATGAAACGGCGGCCATGTTGGTGTGCCAAACCAGTCCTGTTGGAGTTGAACTCTTTTCTTATGCAAACGCTTTCTTTTGTTCCAATAAATTTGCATAGATGCTGGCCACGTGAGTGAAAACACTCTATAGGGCTTCTGTCCACACATAAGAACGGTGATTTCGGCGCGATTTCTGTATCGGGGCGAAGCTGCGCTGCGCCGATCTCTAAAGTGGAGAGTCACATATCGGAGAGGTTCTGTGCAACACTTTGGTGCAGTTTAAACTTGTATTTGTACCATAGAGGTGAATAAGTAGGAGCGAGGACTGGAATCCACTAAGATGGAGGTAAATATTGAGGAGTGAGGACTGGGATTTAGTTTACCAAATCCTCTCGGCCAACACGACCGGCATGATGTTCGACGTGTGTGAACGACTTCCAGTCTGTACCGTTGCTGTTCATACCATACCGGACAGCTGATAGTGTGAACATAACCTCAGGCTTGAGGGAGCCAAGTATGAATAAATTCGAAACTGTCCTGTTGTTTTCAAAGTGGATTAACCAGCGTGTAAGTGTTCCTAACACAGCCAGCAGTGATTAAATCTAACACTTACCAGCTGAATCTAAAGTCTGCTCTACAAAGGTGACATTGTCTTCTTGGACCACATCCTGGTCAACTAATCGTCACAAAACAAACAAGAGTTAACATTTGAACACAAACTTACCATAATCAAGCTTAGCTTGGTGCTGTACTAATTATCACGTGTTTGTTTAATGTCATTTAGAAAAATCAATGAAGCTTCAGTTTCCAAGCAAAAATGGCAATGAATGAAATAAATCGCTTCATAAAAGGTCTCTTGGGGAGCAGTTGGCCTTCTTGAACTGGAATATTGGGGGTTTCAGTATTGCGCACTGGTCAGATTTATAAAGAAGGGTTTTTCGATTTGTTCTCCTTTTTAAAATCTGCGGTTTATCGGTCTTCATAGCGCCCTCAGCGATTCGGTTTACGATTTTTCTAAAAATGAGAAATGGTGTGGTGTTCCGGTTGCCACATCACTTTCCAGTCGTGGGGCCGGTCGGATGTAAAATGGCACAGTTATTAAATAGTGACAGGAACATCCCTAAGGCATGGACCATTTGAAAAGTTATGGGGAGGGTACTGGCGAAGTGCAAGAAAATATTAATGTAAGGGAACGTTAACTGAAGACATGAGGAGAATGTTAACGAAAATATCTTTGCACCTCAAAAATTCCCCACCCCGGCCATAACTTTATTAACGGTTCGCCGCTTAGTTCTTGCCAACTAGAGTTGGAAATGGTTGGATTGACCTTTCTCGGATGTTTAAGACTGCGGCCGGCTAAATTAACATTGCGTTTCGCGCTTTTGGCTTTTTTTTTTTCCCCTTTCTTTCTTTTTACAGTTTATAGGTAGACTTCCATGTCATCGTTTTCTATAATTTTCGGACTTCTTCATATAATATCATTTCTCGTGAATACTAGGTCTTAATATTGTCCGTCCATTTTAGGCAGTAGAATATACTGTCTTACCAGGATAAACTTCCACTTCCACTCGCCTCTCTTCATCCCCAGTAAGCCAGCGGTTACACGGGAAAAAATACTTCTCATCGCGGGAAGGGATCTCTATTTTTAAGGACTCTAGATACCACTCGGGATTTGGACCACTGTTGTCATGGCTCAGACGAATTCTCTCGACCTAACAGGATCAATAATAACAAAGGTGTTGACTTAAGATACGTTTGGCTTATCACAGAAACAGGCGGGTACACTCGGTGTATACGGTGCAGGACCCGAGTATGGTTGCACTTTAGTAAAGGCAAAAATATTATATATAAATGTATACGTAGAGTGAGTATCCCAGGTCAAATTCTCTGGTCAGCAGTTGGAGAGTAAAGAGGTATGCGAGTCGTCCGTGCCTACTATAATTATTGTAAATGATTCAAGGTAATTGGGCTTCCTTGTCTTTCTTATCCCCCATAGGTCAATTATTTTTGAAAGAAAATAACCTTTTCATTGTTTATTTCACGACACGAAAATTTCTTTGTTGTTCTTGTTGTTTTTTTGCTGGAATGGCTATAATAATAGAGTTTTGTTGTTGTACCGGTGAGATAATCACGACCACGTTCAAAATATTTAATTAACGTTATGACCACACACATTTTTTCAAATTCAGTTATTCATTACTTGAACTGATATACAAACTTGCTGTGTTCTGGTAGAAATGCAATACTACGTAGATCTTCATTTTCATCAATTACTTCACGTTATCATTATCAGGGATAATACCTTGAAATTATGGGTACATGCAAATACATGTCAGTAAAATATGTTCTTATCTCTATTTGCACATTTTCTACAAGTTAATTTTGTTTAACTTGTTAAATAATTGGCCTTTTAAACAAACTAATCACCTTGACTATTCAATAAACCTGTTTTTGATTGGATCTCCACATACTCTGACAAAAGGGATATACATGTTTACTGATTCACTCACTTTGCCCACATCCATAGTTTGTACAGTAAATCTATCAGTACGCCCACGGTCAAATCTTTTCAGGGTTTTGCCAGATTCTTGCCGCAACATAATCTTTTCAGTTTGACCTTTGTCTCCAAACAACTGTAGCGTAACATTAGCATCAGTTCCAGCGTACGGCATATCTCCAGTTTTGAATGTTAAGCTATACGCAACATCTGCAAAAAAATAAGGTTAGAGATTAGATTTATTCATGGTATCGGTGTTACAACAATACGAGGAAAAATACTTTTCACTAGTGACAACAACAGCACCTTCCACAAAAACACAGTGAAAGCTAAACCTTGTACAGCTTAAGAGGCCGTTTTATACAATGTTGAAAAATTATTATATAACAATACTTTTTGAACTGTTACAATGCCAATCATAAACATATATCCCTGTATTCAGATATTAATTCTCAAAGTTGCAAAAAATTTTACTTCCTTGAAATCACATAAATCCTGCTAAGGCACAACTTTTGTCCCACAACACAAAATGCGTCTTAGATAAGAATTGTACATGGTAGGCGCTGGATTCGCAGGTAGTTTGATTACTGCCATATATTCGAGTTCACTGCAACAATGTTCTTTGTTGGTACAACAATTCTATGTGCTCAACGTATATTTTATTCACCTGCTCCTGCACTAGGCTTAAGGTTTTCGAAAAACGCTGAAGAACGAAGGACTTTTAAATAGAAGTACCAGTGGATAGTGAGACACGATTTTCGTTGGAGTTTACCATAATTTTAAACTTTTTTTTGCCGTTATCTCAGGTCTGATTACCGAAATCGCTCTCATTTTGATATGCCTAGGAAGATGTCTTTGAGCGGCACAAGTTGTGCTTCGTTTTTGAATTCCATTTTTTAGCATTAAAACGTTTGGCACAGTACTACTGAAGCGGTACAAGGACCGTGGCCCCAAACGTACTGCAGAAAGCTGCACAAATTTCGCGATTCAGCAAGGCAGTGCCATGAAATGAAACAGGTACATGTTTGTCCAAAACACATACTTTCCGGTCTTTTGACAGCTTTTCCAGGCAGTAATTCTCTCTCTGTCTTGCTGTCCCAGACGTCCTCTGCTAGCCAACAGGCACATGGGAAATTTATGGGGTCACTATCTGTTGGAGCTATTCTGACATTGTCCACAAACAAGCCTTTTCCATAACCCCGGCTGTCCTGTCCCAGACGGATTTTTTCGATCTACCAGAAAAAGAACATAACATAAAAAATTTTAAATTTTAGTAGGGGTGGTCAACGTCAGAGATTTGTTACCGCTTTAATAGCTCTGTTACATCCCACAGATTCAGATTACCGGTTGGTGAAAGTGTTGCGAGGTGACGCTTACAGTTTTTTCATCCTAATCTAAGAAAACTAGAACGCCATCTAACCATTTGGAGGTGTCAAAGCAAAGGCAACTATTTCTCCTCAGTAATTTTAAGACCATGAGTGTTGGTCTGGTCAGGAATTGAATCCTACCTACCCCTCTACAGTCTGGTACCCAATAGAGAGAAGTCGTTACGTCATGTTGCCATGGTAGCAAAAGTTTTGAATGACAACAAACCAAAACGTCACTTAAAAAGTGTATTTGCAATGTTTCAAACTTCATCGATCTTATTTAATATCCTTGTCACATATTGGCAAAATTTTCTGGGTTAAATCCGAAAGGAAAGTATGTAAGTTTAGAAAAAGGAAAAACAAAATTTTTGCGTTGGGCTCACCTACTCCATAAAGAGGTAGCATGAAATTAGGAAGTTTCATGTCGTGGTCGTGCAACAAAAGCTAAGAAATGTACAAAAAAGCGTGATGCACGTGCAAAGTTTTTCTTTTGCCAATCTAAACCTATTGGTTTTTTACTGTTTGCCGTCACTGTTGCAAAAACTCCCTATTGTTGTGATCCAGAAATTTTGCTACCATAGTAACATGACATCACACTTCTGCTCTATATTGAGCTAACAATGGCAGTGGAATAGGCCTCTGAACAACCTTAAGATTTACAGTTAATTTCCTTGACATTGTACACATATGATGAATTGTGCTTATCTCACCCTTCCTATGTCAACAGTCAGAGCCAATGTGAACTTAAATGTTTTCTCTCTTTCCAGTGGTTCCTCAGGTCTCAGGAACACCTTGCTTGTCTCTCCTTTACGTCCAATCAGATAGATGTATAGTGTTGCTTCGGGGTTTAACACTTCACCAAGACTTAACGACACAGTGTGGGTAATATCTGAGTCTACATGAGAAAATAAATTTGCAGAAAACAATTAGCAAACAACGGCTAACATTACATTACTTGCCTAACTTCACTAACCAGGGATCTAAGACCATTTCGGTTTGGTCTGACCAGAATCTTCTGGACCAGCTTTGAGGGTGGTCCTCTTTGACCGGTCTGGTCATTAATGTCCCTTTCCATTTGACAAAATTGTCATCCCCACTACCGCTCTTTTGAATCGTGGGAAGAACAATAACCAAATGCACAGTGGCTTGGGTCTAGTCTGTGCAACCTAAATGTACCATTTCATTTAGCACACGAAATTTCCAAAATTCCAAACTGGAATTTGTGTTGAATGGAAAGCGCCCCTTAGCTTTCTCATAGAAATCCTATGCTGGGAACCCTGAATTTCACAGGTTCAGAGCTCTGAACTCCTGGACAGCCTTGAAGCCAGACACTGGAGCTAAAGATTTGGGTTTAAGTGGTTTCAAGTTCTGCAAGGGGGGGCAAGGCTCCACTTATATGTAGAATCAAGTACATGAAGTACCGGTATGTGTGGATCCTGTGCAAGTATCCTTCATTTACATTCAAACCATGTTAATACAGAAACTGAGAGGGCCATAGATAGTGTCTATATCAACTGGAGCCTGGATTAAGTGGGGTAAGTAAGTAAGTAAGTAAGTAAGAGACTTTAGAGTGGTTTTCGTTTGAGTGTCGTAAAACCAAAACCAAAGTAATTACTCTGGCCAATCACATAGGACACAGACAATACATTGAACCAATCAAAACTCGAAGTAATTACATGTGGCTGACGCAAAAGTCACAATTGGCTTTGGTTTTACTTCTGATTGGATGAAAAGGTGGCGCGAATCTTTTAAGCCAATCGCATCGTGTAGAAAGTGCAAAACCAATTACTTTTCGACACTCAAATGAAAACCGCTCTATTTTATGAGGGTGACACGTAACAGTAACTAAACATTACTGATCAACTTGTGGCCCTCTAAAAATATAAAAATGCAATTTATAAAAACTACTTTAGCAATAAATTATTATTTACAATAAAAAATTCCTAGAATTCGATAAAAATAAAAATAAAAACTATTAAAAATGAAGACCATCCAATATCCATCTATTGTCATTAATTTAGGTCAATGATCCCTTTGACTTCTGAGAATTTAAAACTTTTTGGCATAATTCAGCCTTAAAGGATTTCAAAGACCTCCTTGTTTTTAGTGATCGGGGTAAATTTAGAGAAAATGTAAGGGTTTTTATTCCTTAGAGACAAGACAAACTGTCCCTAATAATGGGGTGACTGTGTAGAGCAGGTGTCCGAAATCAGGGGTTTGACTGTATTGAGTGCAGCTTTAACTAAAATAGTTACCTGATGAGTGTGGGGATCCTGTGCTAGGATAAATTTCTCTTTCAATTTTTCCATCACTGAAGTCTTTAGCCAACCAACAAGAGCATGGGAAAAACATAGGCTCCTCATCATCTGGGATAACTTCAATCTCATCCAGGAAAATTCCTTTGCCTTTTCCATGGCTATCATGACCAACTCGAATTCTTTCCACCTGACAGTCACAAAAAATTAATTTTATCCTTAAAACTCTGACTTTTAACTAGATAATGGGCATATAAATAAATGGCCACAACCATAATTCTTGGCATCATAATTTAGAAAAATTGTACAGCTGTACAGCATTGCCATAATTATTAAAGTTTTACCAACCTGAACCATATAAGTTTTTGTTAATTCATTATATCTGCTGCAACGCTATTTGTGAAAACTTGTTGTTTTTTGTATTGACAATGGGAGGAAGTAGCTTCTGTCAGTATTTTGCTATTTTATTTGTTTTTGTCTTCGTAGCTGTCACAGTTTCAACAGCATACTTCAGTCATTTGTTGCCAATTCATTGATCTCATTCTGCTATTTCAAGGCCATGTCACTTGTTGGAATTATATCCTAACAGGGACTCACTTAAGATTACCTTTCCTATGTCTGGCATCTCTACAGAAAATTTGTATGTCTTTCCCTCTTGAAATGAATCTGTGCCGGTACCAGTGGGGCGGAGAACTATCTTGGTGCTTTCTTCATTTTCTCCACACAGTTGAAGATATAGCTTGATGTGTGGATCCAGGACCTTGCCCAGATGAACAGAAACAGTGTACCCCTTGTCTAAAATAAAAGTTAATTTTAAAAATGTAAGATGAAAATTGAAATTTTGAGAATTTTTTTAAAGGTTGATTTCTACTTACAGGCTAAAGCAATCTGGAATAAGTGATGCAGAAACACTGGCAAAACTTGAAATAATTCCACTGATTTAAAAATATATAGTTATATACAAATAAATTCTACAGCTTAGAGAGAACAAAATTATGGTTTGGAAATGACAGAAAAGAAAATAAGCTATAACTCACACAACTTGCCCACTAAATCAAAGACAGACTTTTCCTTCCTCCTATTTTTACACACCAGAAAAATAATCAGAAAAATGATCTTACTTGGCTTAGACGTTGATGCATTTAAATCTTTCACTGTCATTTCAGAAGACACATCCTGAGCTAGCCAGCAGTTGCAAGGAAATATGTAATGGCTGCCATTTGATGGAACATCAATTTCAACTTCTTTTACATGAAATCCTGTCCCATACTCCATGTGGTCATGGCTGAGCTTGATTCTCTCCACCTTGATTTAAATTTTAATGAAAAAATTATTTTATCAGATGTATTGCAATTTCAGTCTATTGGTTTGCCACCATAACCATATACAAAACAAGACGTTCTAAGAATTAAAAAGCTAATGGTGAGGAAGCCCAACCTAAATCACCAGGCTTATATCTTTGTCTTTGTAAGAGCATGTATAATATATTTTTTATCAACTGTAGTGAACATTATAGTATACAGTCCTGTAATAATTCCGAAAATACCTTTCCAACATCACTCGTGGCCACCATAAACTTGTATTCTTGACTGCTTTCAAACAAATTTTTATTATCTCCTGCTTGTCTTAATTGTATTTTTGCAGTGTTTCCTTTAGATCCAAACAATTGAATGTAGACATTTCCATCTGTTCCTTTTCCCTTCACCTCACCAAGTTTCATTTTAATGTTGTATGTCACTGAAAAAGCATAATAAATATAGATGACAAGAATCTTAATTACTGATCTGAGTACATGTATCAAGAACATTAATTTACACTACAATTTATTCAATAGGTCTTTTCCAAAATCCAAAACCCTCACTTCAATCAACGTCAGGAAAAGTATTTACAACATCGGTGCCCCTTACCACAAGTTGACAAAAAATAGCAATGAAGAAAATTTTCAAAAAGGTACAGATGTTTGTGTTCATTGTATTAACAACACAATGCTTGGAGATTAAGAGTATCATTAGGGTAACATTAACTTCAAAACACACAGATGTATTCCTTCTCTGTAAGTTTCACTACCTAAGAATTACTGTCAGCACAAAGAAGCAATGGTGGGGAGTACATCCGTGTTGTGGGCTAGATTGTGATTCTAAGGTCAATAGTTAACAGGGTGCGCCAAAAATTTTCTTATCCACTTGTCCTTCAGACAAGCACTATATTAAATTTGGTTGTCCGAAACCCAAGGGTTCTTGTCCAAAAAGTTTTGCTCAAAACTCAAAAACAATCGGGCATATATTTTACTGCTTATTATTACATAATCAGCCTTTTTGCAGGTAAGTTAACAGGCCTGGTTACTAAGACCAGGTTTCTAAGCCAAATGGAGCTCGTCAAAAAAGAAATGATTGAAATGGCTGTGGAATGGAGAAGTTTTAAAGGAATATTTAACCTTCTTTTGACAAGCATGAGGTTCGCTTTTATGACTATAAGATAAATTTTAATTCTACTGTAATTTGAAGTCAACTTTCATCTGTTTCTGCATTTTTTCTAATTAAAAATGTGCTTGTCCCACAGACAAGTTATGTCAAAGGTTTACTTGTCCGAACTGTATTTCTACCTGTCTCGGACAATCGGACATAGGTTTTGGCGCACCCTGTAGTTAGACATGTATGACGTATGAGTCTATAATGTGCCAAATTGATCTATACTTGTAAATAGCACTATGTTAATAGAAAAAATAAAGTATTACTATTTATAACTTGTCATTGTTATTAATGTGCATACCATTCCCATCAGGGATGTCTGATCTTGGTCCATCTGATGGTGCCCGTTGCCTCACTAATGATGATGTGCGAGGAAGAGTTGATGGTTTTGGTGGAGCAGACGCTGTTGTGGAAGAACTACTTGCCAGAACTGCAAAACAATAAAGCTTGTACTCTTTGAACAGGTTTTTAAAACATGAAAAAAGGCTTATCTTGTCTGGTTGTTAATTAATGGGCTAAATGAAATTTTGTCACAGTTATGCATTATTGCAGTCAAGTGCAGTTCTTAGCTCCACCAGTCTCTCCAGCACCACCCCCAACAGACATCTTTGTTGAGTTTAAATCTTAATAAACCTCAGTATTGGTAGGTGGCAAATATAACACTGGGAGTGGCAAAATTGAGAGAATCTGGCTCTTCTTCAACGGGCTATCAATATAATCCATGGGCTTGACTCTACAACAACTGTTTGTAAGGGGCCTTATTTACCTGGACTTTCACCTCTGTTAGAAACTTTACTTCCAGTTGAAAAGGATGAGGATCGTATTGGCATTGTTAAACTGGAAATCTTTGTTCCACTGCCTGTTGAACTAACTGACGCACCACTTGATCTTCTTCCTGTACTGCCAGTGCTGTATGTACGTTGCAAGGAACCTGTTTCACCAGAATCAGAATCCCGCTTTTTATATGGAAATCTGTCATCCATGTTATCAGAACCCGAGTCTCCATTTACCATATAAATTGTTCGTTTACTATAAGATCTCTCTTGTGTTGAGTCTGTGCCATTTGTGATTGACCCATTGACATATGCGCCCGGATCATTAGAGCTATCTGAGTAATGCCGCTCAGTCCTTGTGTGACGCATTTCTTCACTTATCGTACGAACTTGACGCACTTCTCGTCTTGTGAATGATTCACTTCTTGCAGTCTCCCACTGCATTTTTACAGAGCCTGTAAGAAGCTGCGGAGATAATAAAGACCAATACATTTTAAGTCTGAGAAAAACAGCTGACATTTCGTGATGCCACCACTGGTTTCCTGGTCAAATGATGTCTGAGGAATGATCACAACAATTCCACACCGATGACGTGTCACTACACAGATCTGGATTACATGTAAGAGCTTCTCATTAGCTGAAGAAAATTTCTCACATGACCCAGTGTTGGTGTTGAAAAATGTTGGCTGTTTTCTCAGGCTACAATATTTTTAATGACTATAAGCAAAATACACTTTTTAGCTACCAAAAACAGGTATATTTTAATGGTAGTTGGGTCTGGGGGGAGGTTACAGGAGGTACTTATCCCCCCCCCCCCCCCGAGATGACCCACGGCGGTTTAATAAAACTCGCCAAAAAAAAAGGGAGGGGGGTCCTTGGTGGTTAAAAAAAAAAAAGACAATGAGAAAAAACGCGAACAATTTATTTAAAAAAAACAAAAAAAATTTTTAAAAAATTTTGGCCTTTTTTTCAGGGTAAAAATTTTTTAAAAACTAAAGAAAAAAAAAACTTTTTTGACACCAAAAACAAGTATATTTTAAAGGGGTTTTGGGCTGGGGGGGGGTTTACGGGGGGACTTTCCCCCCCCCCCCCCCCTGAGATGACCTGCGGCGTTCTAATACAACTTGCAACAAACTACGGTACGTGGTTCATTGGTGTTGAAATAAAACATGATCATATGAGACAAGGCTGAAGAATTTATGTTAAAAACCATAAAAATGTTTTTTGGGCACGTAGTGTCACCAGTTAGTTACGCCATTCATTAGTGGTGAACCCCCTCATAAGAAAAATCCTGGATCGTCCCTCTATCCCCTCTGTTTTACAGAAAATAAGGGAAAACATTTCACTTATACTTATGTTCACTTGATACAAGGTGTCTGCTTTTAAAATATGAAGTCATCTCAATCCTGAGCTTTCACAGTAGATTATAGGTCTAGCCCTTTTTAGTCATTAAGATAAAAGTGATAGTGAGGGAATTGAGTACCAGAAAAATGCTTCGAAGAAGTAAGTGGGGAGGTGAGGACATTAGGATTTGGAAATATTTTGAATCAATAATAAAACAATGAACTATTGAATTGGCTTTTATATGTTATAAAGAGTTTAAATGCAGATCTTGGAGGTTTTTTTCACCTTGGATGATAATACCCTCCTTGACCTGCATAATTCTTCATATCATCCTCAGCTTCATTCGATAAGTCTTATTGTTCCACATAATCAGTAAAAATGCTTTCTTCATTAAAAAAACTGTTGCATAAAAATAGCTAGAATATAATACATAATAGCACGACTTTTGGCTCATCTCTGTGTAATATGATTTATTACTTACAGCTGACGAAAAACAAAGAAAACACCAAACCTAACCCATAGTCCATAAAACAAGGAGAACGAATAAATTACATTTCACCGGGGATGACCCTGAGTTTTTGGAAGTGACTACTCATGAATACTTTTGAGACCGTCAATAATGCAACTTTTCAAACTAAAGGTTAAGTTGTCAAGACGTTTACTGAAAAAATAGAACAGTCCTTTGTCATGTTGACTATATGGAAAAGCAAAATAAAGACGAAGGTCACGACATCTTGCGCTCGATTACATTCAAGAGTCTGTTCATCATCACGTGCAAGAAACAAATGCTAACCTAACTAATAAATCTTTGAAAATAAAATGGAAAAGCTTCACTTGAACTAATCGGGGTGTGCTGCAAAAAATAAGAAGCTTAATGTAATTACAGAACTTAATAGGACACGGCTTCAATAATACATGCACAAACGTAGGCTACCGCACAAACTTTAGTAGTTTTGATGTTGAGCTAAATGCTTACTTTGAGGACCTGGACAAACTGAATTAGAACTTTAAATCATTATATTTTAAAGCCAATTTAGAGTTAAATTCATAAAGTCCACCGTGATAAGAAGATATAATCCTAAAGTCTTTTGGAATCGTAATCCTCGGTTTATCCTTTTGAAAACATCTCGGAGTGAATTAAGGGGACAAGATAGTTCAGTCTAGAGCGTGGCTAAAAATATATTACACATGCCTTCGCGTACACTTGCTTAGGTTTTTTGTTTTGTTTCTGTCTTCTGATATTGAAATGGTTTCTTCGCTTCAGGGAACGGCTGTTAAATTTATATTACGCTTAAGTTTACTTCTGTAATATAAGCACAAAGGGTTGAAATGGCTTACAATTGTTTACAAACGTTCCTTGTAAAATTGTTCAAAAGGAACGAGCGTTCTAGAACCAAAAACGAATAAAATAAATCGAATGGAGTAAATATAGCTCAATGAAATAACAAAATGCATTGATTGGGCATGAAAAATTACCTTTTTCGAGTACCAGGGTTGTGATTTGCCCGACAGAAACTCGTTTCTCCCGCCGAAGTCTGAATCGTCCCCACAGAGTTTTCAGATTACATAAACGTTCTGTCGTTAAGCAAACCTCTTGACTTTCTTGACAGCTTTCGCATATCGAGTTACGGGACTGATCGAATTGTGAACTTGAAAAGCCGCCAAGCATCGGTGGTATATTCGACTGTTACAATACCAGCCACTGTTTATTTTGAAAGTGGCATCCAATATATTTCATTCGCCATATTGATAACGGGCGAAAGGGCGAGGTTACAGGGCAACAATTCACACATCGATTATCACGGGGGAGGGGCAAATTTCAATTGTTTATTACAGTCTGGGAGGATAATTTATACAAAATTCAATAAAATAAACAAGACTCTGCACTAGTAATCAACCCTGCTCAGATCACTTTATGTAGAACAACACATGCAATGATCTCAGCTCTGGAAGAGAAAGAGTATGAAAGAGCCAAAAAATGGTTTTAAAGATTGGCGTAAAATTACCGGCCGGGCAAAAAACATCTATCTTATCACACTCAGCAAGCACCTGAATGGCGAAACTGGCAAGAACTCAAGTGTGCCAGAAGTCTGCAACTCTTTCAGCGCGTTGTGGATTTAATTTAATAAGGCCACCCGCAAAAAATAATCATTGACATATACCGCAGTCATATGATTGGCTCAGCTATAAAAATTGGAACGGAAACATTCTAGATAATTCTTCTATCCACGAGATTTCAAACTTCTGTGATCCGACTACTGTTGTCAGATCTTCGTTTCTGGATTGAAAGCACAAGAAACCATTTTTTGTTTCTCAGAAAGTAGTAGTTATGCTTCACCCATTCACTTAGGACTGTTCTAATGAAAGCGCGTATTAAAAGCTAAAAATATCCATTCATTAAAATAGCTGCCTATGAAATCTGAGTTTTTTATGGGTTACCTCGTGGGTCGGCATCCTTGTTGTTCTCCCGATCTCCGATGAGTTAATGTCTTATAACGCAGAATTATATAAACATATAGCTGAAGAGTTAGTCAGCGTTTTACGTAGTCATACATGAGTCAGGTGTAACCTGGCGGCACTTGACGATTTCTGCCCATGCCCGTCTGAGTCGCAAACAGAATAAGACCGGTTCCCACGCTTTCTCATCCGGTCGGAGAGACATCACAACCGAATTATTCTAAAACAATACCTTGTTTTGTAATTCCGGCTTAAGCTCGTAGTTCCTTGAGAATGAGTCATTGCTCTTTTGATTTTTTGCTTTATTCTTTGTTCCATCTGATTGTGGGAAAACTTCACGCTTCATTACCACTAAACAATTAATCGAAACGGGACTCGGTATTAAAAAACAGTGCAATTTGGTACAGAGGCAGCTGGGCCGGTCGATTATGACTGGCCAAATGAAAACAACTTCTCAAAGCTTTGTTTTACCTTACACGATGACGATTTATTGTATTGTTTAAATTATTGTTGCTCACCTCATCTTGAAATCAAGGTCAATCAAAGCCTCGAGACAAAAAACTAGTCAGAAACTGATTTCACTGTAACAAATTTTCACAATTGGGTTAAGGTTGCTGGCTTTTGAAGTCAGTTAAATTTGGTGTGGCGCACAAATGTAGGATGCAACAATTTGTAAAAGCCTTTATCAACTCAAACTGACAACCATAAAGTAATAAAAGAATACTGAACAAAGGTACAAAAGTTTCCTAAGTACTAACAATTGTCGAGTGTTGAAGAGACATTTGAATGGCTGTACAACAATCAATTTGTAAATTGTTACTGAATACAGTCTCGACCTTTGCGTTTGCTTTGAAACACGGAGCAAAACTCGAGATCTTTTTGAGCCCGCTTACAAACTGCATAAGGCAAGCAAACATACAGCCTTCTCCTTTTTTTGCGGCGTAAATCACATTTTTTTCTATGCATGCAGTGCTGAGAAACGCCGGTAGAACTCAAACCGTCTTAACGTCTGCGTCGTTTTTTACCAGCATCGCCTAGTTTTCAGAAAACTTTTTGAGATGACAAACTCATTCAGGCAATCTCTTACCTTAATTCAAGCAATTTCGACCTTCCAAGGCTACGATTTAAGGCACCTTCTTACGGAATTTTGTCTTCATGGAATTTTCGTTGCCGTGGGAGTTTTAAATCACACAATGTTTGACGCTATGGTTGTAATACATTTTTTATGAGCCGGATTTGCTGCAGCACGCTTGCTGTGAACAACTGGTAGCTTTAATTTGTACCGTATAACCCAAAAAACTTCATAACATTTTAAACAAAATAACGTCATTAGGACTAACTAAAAGATTTGTTAACGGCGGAGAAAACAGAAAAATGTTGACTTTATGGGAAAAACAATACTTGAAAAGCCACCGGTGCAAAATGCTAATATAGGTAAAATCAGCGAGGGGTACCTAATTAACAGACATTTGCCTTAGACAATTCGCGGTCTGTACAAAAACTGCCAGTTCTATTTGAGTTTGAATTTGAATTTGTCTGAAAAGATTTGTTAAAACCTAATAGGATAACCTCAGCGCCTCTGCCTCGCTGCAAGACCAACTGACAAGTGCCTCTTGTTAGTGCTGTCATAATTATGAGTTGTCTCCATACAAAGTAAGGTATCTTAACGGGTCTGTAATTGGTAGAGATATCTCCTTGTTATATAGCCACAAGACACAACAAATCGCTTGCTAAAACAAGACGGAGCTGTAAATATTTAATCGACTTTCCATTAAAATTCAACAATTCGTAGTTGAAATTATTACGGAGCTGAAATTTAAAATAAAATTGTTTTTTAATTATGATCCTGCAACTGACGAATCGATTAATTTAGAATAAAATATATATCATGCTCAAACAATATACCTGATGTAGCCGGTTTTGTGTTTAAAAGGTTTACAGACTTAAGATGGACAGTATATATTCACAAGCATGAACTAAGTAGAATAACGACTATGTAACAAGAATCGAAAAATTTGCTTGAACAAAATTTGTCATCTTATTCCTAAGAAAACTAATATAAAGAGTAGAAAAAAATATATAGCACTTTGACAGCAGTTCTGCATCAGCTGAAATCTAGTAGATATTCGTATTACTGCCGAAACTCTCCCGTTTCTCAAGTAACTTTACACCGGCACACACTCTTTAGTCGAATTAAAGAAATGCACTGAGAACCGGCCGTATTATACAGAGGTGTATTATAGATAATAGTAACAAGACTATTGTCAGTGGAGTCTAATATGTTCCTACAAATGAGTACTCTAACACAAAAAGTCGGACGATCAATCAATACTGAAGCAAACTTTGAGATATGTTAAACTAAACACAAGATGTCCCTAGAGTATCATTGGCTTTAGCATACAGCATTGGCTTTCGAACTGAGAAACAAAATAAATAAATAGTAAAAAATTAAGAGTAACTTTCCAATTACAGTGCCAGTGATGTCGCGTACTGTCCAAAATCGGACTAATCGGACGACCTTGCAGATAATGTTTGCAACCTTCAATCGGAACCACATGATCAACAAGGCGATTTCGATCCGCTTTTTTCGGTGATTTAGTCCCTCAATCGGCGGTCTGACTGTCGTATGGTTCCGGGCTCTCTTGTTGTTGTGTTTCTTAATCCGATGCATGGGCTGCTTTTGGAATTTCGATTTAACTTTCCCTGTTAATGATGGTAAGGTGGCGAAGTCGAAGTGAACCACCGCAGGTTTACCCTGTGCGAAGTGTACCATGTAATCTTATTGAAAAACAGAAAAATGGCGGAATTGTGCCCTCGATTGTAAAGGCGTACACAGCACGGTTTCGATACCTTAAAACACCATCAATAAAGCTAAGTTGTGTTTGCCTATCACCTAACAAGGCAAAATGTCCATTAACCTGAGATATAACTACATAGAACAAGATTCGAAGTGACAATTAGAGCTATGAGAGAAAACTTCACTGAAGAAACGTAAAAGGCAAAAGTTTATCAGCTTGTGATAGTTACAGAGATGAGGAGTTATCACTTAAAAATCTATACAGCAATATTGTAACATCCATTTATTTGAGGCTGATGAAAACTCACTTCACTTGATCGTAAAAGATTCATCAGGCAAGTGATGGGTCACCTGAGAAAATGAAGATGAGGAAGCAAAGAGGATGAAGGAAGAAATAATTATTACCCTCTCTAGCTGATGTGATCCGTCTGCGGAAAGTAACGTGAGGAAGGTACAAAGCACTGTTGTAATGACTGAGAGACCACAACTGAAAACTTAACACTGTATAACGTTTAGGGAAGAGACCCGGGTGAAATGCCGAACGGCCGAGGAAGAAAACCACTATATCTTTCAGTTTTCGGCTGCTTCTGTGTTTCTACGTCTCATTAAATAAAAGTGTTGTGAAATATTGTTTCAGAATCCAGGGAAAACGAAAGTCAAAGTCAAGAAGAATAAGTTTTTAGGCCAAGGCAGAGAACACTTTCGTTAGAATCCCTTGTTCTTAACAGCGGAGCTACCACTGTAATCGTATAAATGTCATTTCTGTTATCCTGGCTGTGGCACAAATCTTCCAAGCACCAACTTCTTTCACAATGGAAGACTTTATCAGTATATTAATCATGTGTAGAAGCTTCACTTCTAGGCTTGGCTAAAACTGACATTCAGCAACAAACTGAGCCTGTCCTTCCTCTATCAGTGGAAGACAGATGTAGCTGGATGTATGGGAAAAAATGGGCTTCTTCGCGCAAGTTGCTATAAGCTGAACTGGAAGAAGCTTTCATATCCGTCAATTAAAGAGCGTGATAATAGACCCATTCCCTGAAAAACTGACGCTAACTTTCCAAAGAACCGAAGATGGACGAATAAACGAATAAATAAATTAATAAAATAGTAAATAATGATTTATAATCAGATTTAACAATAATAATGTACACATTGGTTGTTCGTCTACCATTCCTTGTCGAATTGGAATTGAAAATGATGGTTTTTGAGGAGGGGGGAAAACTGGAGTACCCGGACAAAAACCTCTCGGAGCAAGGGAGGTAACCAACAACAGACTCAACCCACATATGGCATTGATAACGGGATTTGGACCCGGGTCACATTGGCTGGAGGCGATTGCTCAACCCCTGCGCCATTCTTGCCGCCCAAAGAGGCCTTACAGAGGGATCAGAGCATAGCTGCAAAACAAGTATAGGATATAAACCCTGCTTCTGTTCGCTCAGCCAAATCATTTTCATGATGACACGCCTAGAGAACGTCTGAGCATGCAGCAACTCTTGGAC